ATATTATACCAGGTGTTCCAGATATTTCCAGCAAATAACAGTAGGAGAAAATGGAACCTAATCTTCAAAATTGCAATTTTTACAAAATAAAGATCAGGATGATATTTTTTGTTGTGGTCATTCAGTTTCATGTATTATGTATACATTTTCCTGACAATAGCAAGCTGAAACAAAATATTAAGGCACACATCACTGCTCATAATCGTTGTTACACTTTGCCAATGACAACTTTCTGTCTCCAAACAGTTTAAAGGCTCTCCTTCACTTAAAGTAACAATGGCTTTCATTCTTGTTATTGTAAATTGCTATAGTATTGCAGAAAATGCTAAGAAAAGATTTAACCACCTGTTTTTGGAGTGTTCTTCAGTATAATACATGCTAAATCTGCCATGTTTGTTTGACAGTGGAGACCGCCATTGTGCAATCATTGCCTGGCTAAGTGTAACACTTGCGCAACATACACAGGGACCTAACCTCCAAGCAATCTTACATGTCCTTTAAAACAGTTTTGATGTGAACCCCCCCCCCCAATGATTTACCTCTTCTTGACCAATCATAACTATGCATTCTTCAGTGTCATGGTAGAACAGTTTTTAGTGAAAAGGTTTAAGTAAAATGTGGTGTCTGTGTGATAAAAAGCAATCATCTTCTTGACCATGTAACATATGTATATTTGGGATAACACTTTCCGTGCCTACTGTGTATTCATCTTCTTGACCAGTCAGAATCTGGCATTCTTAGATATCATTGAAGAATGTTAAAGAGCAGGAATATTGCTGAGTGCAGAATTTCACAATACAGTGGAATCTGTCAAATCCGGACTGTGTAATCCAGTTTTCTCCATAATCTGTACTACTCTCTGAGTTCCGACAAAATTGTTCTTAATTTATCATTAAAGCTTGCTTTATAATCTGGACTCTCTCAATTACGGATTACGGACTAAAATAACAGTTCCGACCATCAACTTGCTGTGAAAACAATGCTTTGTAATCCGGACTTAGCTGACTAAAATAACAGTCCTTTGAATAAACACCTCCGTTACTTCTGTTGGGATCCTAATAGTGGCCAACTCAGACCACAAGACAACTGACAGTTACTGTCTTGGTTTTCTTTTTTATATCATCACTATCACTGTCAACGAGATGGTAATTTTACTCAAAATGTTAAAAAGAATGTTTCTATTACCTGAAATGAAATCGTGTGTCCCTCAGATATTTATAACTTTGACCAACATTATTCACGGCAATCACTTTCTTATTGCGTCTACTCACATATTGCGTCTACTCACGCCTCGAAATGAAGTGTAGTTGACAGAAAATGGATACGTATACATATTGTGCTCGCTAAAAGTCGTAATTTGTGTAGCTGGACGATCACATGTCAACAAACTGTTTTCGCGATGGAAAGAGCGAGATCGCGTGAAACCACCTTGGGTGACAGGTCAAATTGTTCCATACATAAAAACTATCCGGCAATACACCAAGGTGCTGTCTCATAACCTTAGTTTTGATTATAAATATTTTACATTTATAGAGCAAAACCTGCAATTGAAATTATGCAATGCTAGAATATATTTCTCTTTATAAAACAATAGTTTCAGATACTATTTTGTTCCAATCACTGCATCAGAATTCATCTCCTTATATTATTGCGTATGTTTTAACTAAATCACCGGTAGGTCGAGGAGAAACGTGTGCATACGAGACAAATACACATGGTAATTTTAATCCCTGCATATAAGACAATGCCAGGCAAAACAAATTAGAACTGAAAAGGAAAATAATCTTCTCAGTGATGTTTAATTGCAAATTTGACGTCTTTACTGACAAAGTAGTTTTCTGTTGTTTGTTCACGTGAAGCGATACGATAATATTTTCTTACCCCCTGAAAAAAGTTTGACGAAAGTGTAACCCATTGATAAGCCGACCACCTTCTACAGACTGTTATTTTTTGGTCCTCAAAATTCAGCTTATTAACTGTAATATATGGTAACTCATCGTGGCAGTGTCTACAGTAGCAGACAAAAGGACTGCTTTACAATCCGGACAAATGAGTCGGTCCAAGGCCAGTCTATAATAGACAGATTCCACTGTAGTCTGTCTCGCGATGCCTGAACCACATTATTTTCCCTTCCACCCAGCCCTTTTTCAAATGCAAAAGCCCTAATGAAGCAAGTCTAGACTTTCCCACAGTTCCACATCTGAATCTCTCAGCTCATTGGGGCTCCTTTTCAGTTTAAATGGAGTTAACAGTTTCTATTATAATAATACACTTTGAGAGACAAAGCGTTAGTCTACATCAAACAACAGACAGCCACTGTACTGAACCTGGATGGTGTGATTAGCGCCTGCTCTATCACGGCCATCGTGTGGGAGGGAGACATCACATGCCACACAGCAGACTACTTCCTGCTGCTTCAATTAAACCTAGGAAATACTGGGCATGTCCTTCAGGTGCCCACCTATCAACATCCTACCGGACTTTCATGTTCTCTTTGTGCCCCAAAACACTTGTCACCCAGACCACTTGGCTTTCATATCTAACATGGCTTCAGTGTTTTTTCACTATACATTGAATGGCGAGGAATACAGAACTGCCTAGCCTTGCTCCCTGGCTGTACTGAATGTTAACTAAGCCCATGTCCTTTAAAGAGGCAAGTCTAGATAAGCAGACAGTACGTCTGAGGGCACATCTGTTAATTATATTTATATTCTTTAGAAATTATCATTTGAACAATTAATTATTACCTTAGAGACTTTTGCAAGTCTAAGCATAGTCTGTCTCACAGTCCCTGAACCACATTAATTTCCCTACTGCCAAGCCCTCTCTGCAGTGCTAAAGCCCTAAATAAAGCAAGTCTAGATTTCCTCAGGTTCTGAATCTCTGGTCTCCCTAGGGCTCCTTTTCAATATAAATGGGCTTGTTTGTTACTATCAAAATTATATATATTCAGAGACTAAGCCTTAGTCTAGTCTAAGCACTGCCCCGTAGGAACACTGAACAAAATGTTGTTTTTGAGTTTGCATCCTCAAAAGATTGAAGTATATAACATATTGGGTCGGTAGTTGATACAATGATAAAAAATATAATTGAAAAATGTATATTTCTTGTTGGCTGTTTTTAAAGTTTTCAGAAGTGTTATTTTTCAAAATCAGTGATGTACCTGAAACTAGATAAAAAATAATTTTTTGAAAATCACATTTTTCTTAATAAATTATCATCATACCATCACTGTCTTGGTTGTTATCAATCTTAAATATACAACCATAGCATTGTAACTCTATTTAACAGAGGATGAAGTGATTCTGAAGAGTGCGTGAGTGAGTGAGTGAGTGAACTAGCTTGGGTAAATCTGTTTTGAACAAGCTTTTAGCCATATCACAGCTGGTCAGTCTCAAGTGAGAGTCAAGTCTGAGAAATGAAGTTCAAAGCATGAACACAGGATACTGATGGCAAACCACGATTAAGCACATCAGCACAAGATGTTGATGACAAACAAAGATTACGGGTGAATCGTGGGTCATCAGAATTCTGGCATGCCTAAGGGACGAAACTCTGCATAGCAAAATGAAGCAGCGTAGATGACTGGATCACCCAAGCTCCTTATACTCTGGAGAGTTCCTTAGAAAAGAAATATGTTATTCATGTAGCCGGTCTTCATGATGCAAGAATACAAATAAGAGAAATATTTTGTTCCATTACTGTGATCGGCCATATGGACATTTTGGACTTTTACCTCAGAATGGAATCTGAACTAAATAAAACTAAAGAATTATATACACAGCATGAAAGGTTTCCTCAGCAGACGTACATAAATTCATTTATCTGTAAACAAGATGGCAGACGGCAATATGGCAACTTGTGTCTGCTGGGATCAAGAAGTCCCACACAGACTGGCAATAGCAGAGATGTTGGCATATCCATGTAATGCAGGCCACCGAGATGTGGGACACCTTTCTAAACATACGGCGGGGATGTTTTGGCAGCTGAGTTGCACATTTTTACCTAAACCACTGCCCCAATATTGTCCAACCCTTGTACTCTGCATCCTCAGCCACCAAACCATCTCTAGCAGACATGGATAAGCAGACTCTGTGGACAGTCATGACTAACAGTTAATCCATCCTCTCAATCTGTGGTCCAACAGTGAAAGATAAACCAACAATGGCTGACACCAATCCCTAGTTGGACTGGAGACTTTTGACAGAAAACTGTTGATTTTAAAATACATATAATTTCATTATACTTTATGATTATCATTTATGAACAATTTTTTCCCTGTAAAATATGTTCATTTGAGAGACTAGATGTTAGTCAAAACAATCGACTGAGGTAATATTTTATTTGTAGTTTTTATTCAAAATAGATTTTTTGTAGTATACAATACTATTGTAGAAAATAACAGTCATTAAAAGGAAAAAAAGCCAAACACCTGATGGATTGGAAATAAAACACTGACATCAACACCTGTTAAATGTATGTCAGGCCTTAACCTTAAGACTTATAAGATCTTCATCCCACCTGCTTCACTACTGAACACCCAGCTCACATCCTTCCACTGCACTCAGGTAGCAACAGACGAGGAATCATGTACATTATTCACTTTGTGGGTGTGATGATATAAACAATATGCGTAATCCAACCATCTACTCACATCTGTTGATATTTATTGCTAACATTTCCTTTGAACCAGTTCATTTTAAACAAAAATGAAAAAATATATGCCTCACATGTCACGTTATAGTATTTGGATGATAATTGTTAACATCAACAGACTAATGGTTGTTCAGGTACCAAAAAAATCTCTCTAGCAGGTATCACAGCAATCAATGATTATTTAACGGCATAGTGATAGAGTTTGAGTTTCTGAACATCAGTGAACCTCAAATTGTTTAACATAAGTTTGGTAACACTGGCCACTTTCTAACACAGCAGTATAAACCACCTACACTATGCTCCAACAAATAGCAGACCGAACACTTTTGCCCCCTCCTGTGGAGCCTCATTTCATTCAAGATGAAGAAGTGAGCTCTGAGATGTGGGAGGAGGGACCAGTGATTCTGAGTGGCTGGGCAGCTGGCGATACAGGTGAGAGGAGCTAGTTCTCGTATCACACAGCGTGATATACACCTGTATCACATGGCATTCCCTACCTTGCAACACTTCAGCTGTATCACTGTGTGTTAACTCCTACACACTTTCCAGCACTGGAAATATCAGGGATTTTACCAACTTGTTGAAAAAGTTCCCAAATGGCATTCAAAAGAGTTGTATATTTTGTCATATTGACAGTTTTTGTTATTGGTAAATCTGCTAGTGAGGAATCAGAGAAATGTGACAAGAAGCATGACTCGCAGGAAGCAACATGGTCGTTCCAGAATGGTCAGGATGTGAAGTACATGCCGGTGATGTCCATGGCCATGCCCGTGATGCGGGGACCGAAGGGAGAACCCGGCGTCTGTGACAGCAGTCAGTGTAAGTGTGACTGCAGCAACGTCATCAGCCAAACAAATTCAAGACACGAACGCAGAGCTTTACGAGCTCCTCAGGATGTACCCTATCAACGAAATCAGCCAAGTAACTACCAGCATTATCGGGGTTCAAGTCCGCAAAATGTTCAGATGCGTGGTGTAAAGGGTCCGAAGGGGTCGCAGGGGGAGATGGGTGTTCCGGGTCTGTCAGGGGTGCGTGGACCCCCCGGACCCCCTGGACCACGAGGAACAGGGGGTAAGAAGGGGGAACCAGGAAGACCAGCATCAGGGGGACCTTTTCGCAGTTCCCCTGGGACTCAGGGTCCACCAGGAATACGAGGGTTCCCAGGTCCTGTTGGGGGTCGGGGACCAGAAGGTCTCCCCGGCAAGAGAGGACCTCCGGGACCCCCGGGACCTCTGGGGCCAATGGGTATATCTGGTCAGAAAGGAGAACCTGGCTCACAAGGATTGCAGGGAGCAGACGGACTTCCTGGCAGGAACGGGGATCGGGGTGCCCCTGGTGTGCCAGGATTGCCAGGATCGCAAGGTATGATGCTTTGTTAAGTATATACAGACCCAACGTTCAATTTTCTGAAAGGGTATGAAATTTGACTTAAAATTTTTAATTATTTCCTCAGAATCATATATACTTACTTTCAAATTTACAAAATACATTTAAAATATTTACAGGAAGTTTTCCTTTTTAAGAAAGAAATAGAATGCCCTCAAAAGTGATTAAAAACCTTACTCTTTCCTGTAACAAATCCCGGACCCCTCAACTAACAGAAAATAAAATGGCTCTATCTGTAGTATATGAAGGTCTATAGGCAGCCCATCACAGTGTTTTGATATCTACAGTGTAGGGACATTCTTGTGGCTTAAAACAGATTTTATAGAGAACAAAGGGGTTTCAGGCAGTGGCCAGCAATATTATGTATTCAGAGACAAATTACTATATTAATGTGAAAAAATAAAGTAAATACTTCACTCAAGTAGAATACCACTTTGGGCCTGAACTAACAGAAATAACTCATAGAAGATCAAAAATAGGAATACATAGTAAATCGTTAGAATCTCATGAACGTAATGAACTAAACAAAATATTGCCGTTTTACAACACTCAATAAAATATATCTGTTTTTGTTCCTATGACTTGATGAGATGATATTTAACAAGAACCAGTACCCTTACAATCAGCGCTGTACAGTAGTACATGACGCTATGTTGTCATGCATCGATGACATGTATGACACTGATAACACATCTTACAATCAGCGCTGTACAGTAGTACATGACGCTATGTTGTCATGCATCGATGACATGTATGACACTGATAACACATCTTACAATCAGGGCTGTACAGTAGTACATGACGCTATGTTGTCATGACATGTATGACACTGATAACACATCTTACAATCAGCGCTGTACAGTAGTACATGACGCTATGTTGTCATGCATCAATGACATGTATGACACTGATAACACATCTTACAATCAGCGCTGTACAGTAGTACATGACGCTATGTTGTCATGCATCGATCACATGTATGACACTGATAACACATCTTACAATCAGCGCTGTACAGTAGTACATGACGCTATGTTGTCATGCATCAATGACATGTATGACACTGATAACACATCTTACAATCAGGGCTGTACAGTAGTACATGACGCTATGTTGTCATGCATCAATGACATGTATGACACTGATAACACATCTTACAATCAGGGCTGTACAGTAGTACATGACGCTATGTTGTCATGCATCGATCACATGTATGACACTGATAACACATCTTACAATCAGCGCTGTACAGTAGTACATGACGCTATGTTGTCATGCATCGATCACATGTATGACACTGATAACACATCTTACAATCAGCTGTACAGTAGTACATGACGCTATGTTGTCATGCATCGATCACATGTATGACACTGATAACACATCTTACAATCAGCTGTACAGTAGTACATGACGCTATGTTGTCATGCATCGATGACATGTATGACACTGATAACACATCTTACAATCAGCGCTGTACAGTAGTACATGACGCTATGTTGTCATGCATCGATGACATGTATGACACTGATAACACATCTTACAATCAGCGCTGTACAGTAGTACATGACGCTATGTTGTCATGCATCGATGACATGTATGACACTGATAACACATCTTACAATCAGCGCTGTACAGTAGTACATGACGCTATGTTGTCATGCATCGATGACATGTATGACACTGATAACACATCTTACAATCAGCTGTACAGTAGTACATGACGCTATGTTGTCATGCATCGATCACATGTATGACACTGATAACACATCTTACAATCAGCGCTGTACAGTAGTACATGACGCTATGTTGTCATGCATCGATCACATGTATGACACTGATAACACATCTTACAATCAGGGCAGTACAGTAGTACATGACGCTATGTTGTCATGCATCGATCACATGTATGACACTGATAACACATCTTACAATCAGCGCTGTACAGTAGTACATGACGCTATGTTGTCATGCATCGATCACATGTATGACACTGATAACACATCTTACAATCAGGGCTGTACAGTAGTACATGACGCTATGTTGTCATGCATCGATGACATGTATGACACTGATAACACATTAATGAGCAGGTTCAGTACTATTTTTCAGTGAAACAAATGATAATAAATGCAAAATAAAATATAAGAAAAGTGAAAACAATAAGTGAGTGAGTTTGGTTTTACGCCGCTTTTAGCAATATTCCAGAATATCATGGCAGGGAACACTAAGTGAAAACCCAAAAATAGTATTTGTAACAATTTAATGTTAATATACCTTCTTGAATGACAAGTCAAGACACCACAGTTGACATTGATACCCAGATATAGAAATGTGTTCAGTCTGAGACTATTGTTAGATTCTTTAAGTTATGTCAGTATTACACTGTATAAGCACTGGATTCTGGCTTTAAGGGATGGGATGATTAAAGAAAGAAAGTAATATGAATAAGTGAGTGAGTGAGTATGGTTTTACGTCGCTTTTAGCAATATTCCAGCAATATCACGGTGGGGGACACCAGAAATGGACTTCACACATTGTACTCTTGTGGGGACTTGAACCTGGGTCATCGGAGTGATGAGCAAACACTTTAACCACTAGGCTACCCCACTGCCCTATGAATAAGTGACTTACATTATGTACTAAACATTTAAACATAATAACAGTTATATTTTGTTTGAAAATCCATGCTAAGTTGCATTTAGTCCCAATTTGCTGGATTTAATAATTTGATGTCATGTTAATAGCAGGTAGTGTCATACATAGCCATTTTCCCAGCACCTATCATCCAGTACTGGTAACTCTTTTCCCAATGTCCCCATGTAAAGGGCTATATGGTATGTCAGTTGTTAGGGAACAAGTAGCGGGGACCAGGGTAAATAAACTGTGAAGGATTATGTATATATTTCATCTTCTTTTATGTAGATGTCAAGGAAATATTTTTGGTCTGTAAGCACACATATTGCTTTCCTTCCAAGTTGGTGATTTTAATGGAAATTTAAGTTGAATGTTCTCCAGATGTTGTAGTACGATTGTCGTTGGATCACGCTTCAGTGATGTATTGTGTAAGTTGTATTATTTCAAACGAAGTGGCCCTGGTGGGCCAAGTCATATGATCCCCAAGGTACAGATCAAACAGGCTCAGGACTGCTGTACATGATCACCTATTGTCTCGCACCCAGGCTGAGGTTACAGTCGGACAATATGGCCGACACATGGAATATATGGCCACCATTTCAGTCACGTTACACTGATCTTTTCATCTTTAACCTTTTTCGTTTATTGTTCTGGTTATCATATTAGGGATGTAGAAAGGTTTAGGTTTTGACATTAGTTTATAAGGTTCAAGGTACATTACTGGTCTATCAAATCTTAATGCATACCATCACATACACTTGTGAGGTATCCAACCTTTGAAAAACATGATAGTCCGCTAGCCCGAGACAACTAACTTGTGTTGAGGACAAGTAAAAATCCAATGATGGTAGTTTGTATTGACAAGCAGCATTTGAAAGCTTTACTTTTTAACAAGTTCTCAATGCTTTAATTTTCCTGTAAACAGGAATTAAGTAAATGTGACAAATATGTTAACAGAGAAACCATTTCCTTCATTCAGGCAGGACAAGCCACAAACCATGAAGGTTAAACTATCAGTTTACTTTAGTCCTCTCAACTTGTTAAAAAAAATCTAAAAAATTCTGAGACTGTGTACGGTAGTGTACAGGGTATCAGCTTAGATTGACAGGGCACAGTGTGGCTTATTGTTGTAATGAGATGAGTTGTTAAGCCTGAGTGGCCTCACAGAGATACTGTTCTCTGTAACAGCTGGGGGCGCCATTCTACATAACCACATTTTAGGCTTCTGTGATTTTTTCCCCCAGTTCTTTTTTCTTCAACATTCCTTAGATATCTGTCATTGTGATTTCTTTAACTGAAGATGGACGACTATCCACACAAACATTGGAGGCCGACACCTACTTAGTCAGTTGTAAAGAATTGCATATCTTACAGTTCATGTGACAATGTAAAAGAAATGAAAATAAAAATGAAATATTTATTATGTTTCCTGTATCAACATTTTAAGTATTACTCTGTATGATAATTTTCCTCAAATAATTGGACACTTCTAAAGATCCAGACTCCACCATGGAGTGCATACTAATTACATATTTACCTGGTCAGCCAATCATTGCTGGATATAGATATGTATTCCATTCACCCAGCAGAAAATGGGTACCCGGTGTCATAAGTCATGTGACTATTAACCTTCTAGCACCTTACAGGCAGCTTGGGTTAACCGGCGTAATAATCATTAGATTGTGTCCATGGAAAAGGCGCATTATAAATTCACACTTATTATTATTAATATTCCCAGTTCCCTGAGGAGAACTCAAGCCAAACTGACAATATCAGGCACTATCCAGCGGTGCACTGACAAGATCCTGGTTAGAATTGGTCTTTAGCAGCCCATGCTTGTAAGAGACGAATAATGGAATTGGGTGGTCAGCCTTGCTGACTTGGTTGACACATGTCATCGTATCCCAGTTGTGCAGATCGATGCACATGCTGTTGATCACTGGATTGTCTGGTCCAGACTCGATTATTTACAGACCGCCGCCATATAGCTGGAATATTCCTGAGTGCGGCGTAAAACTAAACTCACTCAGTTTCCAGTGGTGCAAAAGCATGACCATCCAATCCTACCGGGTACCCAGTCACGGCAAGGTGAAAACATTTTGGACATTTGTAGTCCATAAAGACACAAGATGCAAAAAACCTGAATTTACACAAGGCACCTGATGACAAACACACTTAGTGATTTACACAACAAACTATACAATAGAGTCTTTGAATGACATTTAGAAGCGATACACATAAATGCAAGAATGTACGGATGTCAACTAGGGCTGGGACGGGTAGGAAAAAATGGAATCGAGTACCCGCATGTACTCACCCAAATCGGAATCGAGTACCCGGAAATGTAAGGAAAACAGTGCTTCTGTCAATTTTCTGAATATTCAATCACGATGTGACAGAGATTATTATAGAAAACTTATAAGGGTGGCAATAAGACATTAAAAATGATCTCGAGCTGTATAATTTACGTCTGTTTGACCAATATAAAGAGTAACACCATTACTAACATTGCTCGTTAAAACAAACTTTTCGCTACCGCTGGTACTGTAACTTGACTACTCACTGCCCATGCGCAGATAAATTACAGTCGTTAATAATAACCTCCATTAATCGGACAATACCAATGATGTAAATGTGTGTTACGTCAATAATGAAAAAGACAAGTTATTATCTTCCCTTGTCATTACAGAGTTCTCTCCTTTCCGTGTACTCGATTCCTAGAAATAGGACTCGATTCCAGCTGTACCCGACCCGGATTCGAGTACCTGAGTACCCGTCCCCAGCCCTAATGTCAACTTCCCTGTTTTAACTGACACACAGACCAATTGCTATAGCTCTCCTTATTCAAACTGGGAGGGTAAACACATGACTGCTTACATCTTGCCTTGAAACCATACAATATTCTGCATTTGTATAGTATGTTATTTTCATGATTTTGAACAATAACAGAAGAGACTGATTATGGTAAATTTAATTGTCATGCATAAAACTTAATTCATCAGCCTATTTCTAGTGTTAAAGCAATCGTACAGATCTTATCAGGTGTGTACACGTTTATCACTTTTCAAGCTGGTATCGGTCAATGTTTCAGGTTGAAACACTTAACAAAAACAATCCCTGGTTTGTATGAACAAGAGAAATTGTTTACTGACTGAACCCCATCCTACGTTGAATCCAATCAAACATACAAACTATTTACTATTAGATATAACTTAGATATCTAAGATTAGGAGCCAGACAAGCTCAAATAGTTGGGGCTCTGGCACCAAGTAATCATCATATAATACACTAGTATTAACAGCGGTAATAGTGTACTGTATATTGTTAAAGGGATAGAACTCTTCAGAGTCCTACCCATACTGAGACAAGGTTAATCATATGTTGGTAGAATATGTTGCATGTAAGAAATCTTGAGTTAGCAATGAAAGGAAACATGACCATTTTTAATGGGCTTGGATACTTCAACCAGTAGCTATCATGTCGCTTATTTCAATTATAACAGTGTGCTCATGTAAAAAACCACCTCACAGCTATGATGGACCTCCATGTTTGTTTGATGATACTAATACAACCATCAATGGTGTTACTATTTTTAGAATGAGGCAATAAAGAAAATTTAAACTCAGAAAAGGAGTCATCAGGAAATGACATATTCCAATATTCTTATGGAATTCCTGACAGGAATTTGACTTCTTATACCCCACTTTCAGTTCACTGACAGGACACCTTCAGTTCAGTGAAGAAAATAATAATAATGCTGTTCACTGTGTTCAGTATTTCAAGGGCACCAGTTCATCACTAAACTGATCTGTGTCGCAAATTTCATCTAGAAACATTGCATGGTTTGTAGTTCTGCTCTGGACAGACAGATGGACAGACAGACAGACTAATTGCTATATCCCCCCTTATTCGAACTGGGAGCATAAAATCATGACTCTGCTTATATTTGATTTAGTATAATTAAACCTTGGAACTGAATATTCAGCAACCCATTTATAAACATTAAATATTGGGCATCTGACCTTGAAATAGTATAAGATAAATAGAAGTTCCATTATAGCAGGGAACAACCTCAAGATCTTCCTGGGCCTCATTCAAACATGTACAGGATGTATTGTAATTTTAACTTAAATTTATGCTTACTTTCAAAGCTACAAAACTGTGATACTGCCTCATTCATGATTACTTCTGCATAAGTGGGTCACTACAGTGTCTTGTAAAACCAACAAGTATGCAAGAGTGAGTGAGTATGGTTTAACGCCACTTTTAGCAATATTCCAGCAATATCACGACGGGGGACACAGAAATGGGCTTCACACATTGTACCCATGTGGGGAATCGAACCCGGGTCTTCGGCGTGACGAGCGAACGCTTTAACCACTAGGCTACCCCACTGCCCCAACTATGCAAGAAATAAGGTCACAACCACATGAGAAAGTTGAAATTACTGGAATATCCACACATTCCGTCTGATATCTCCTGTAATTACAAAGTACTTAATTCATATGTTTCAGGTCAAGGCAGCAGCTCGAACCAGAAGCGTGTTGCGTTCACCGCTGCACTTACAGAAAACGTTGGCCCAGTAAACCTGGCAACTCCACTAAAATACAGGGACATCATCCTGAACGAAGGTAACGTACACTCTTCCACAAAATGGGTAAAATCATTCTATCAAAACTGGGATTATCTAAAAACAACAACAACCCCTTTCATTTAACTGGATACAGCCTCTTGGATCATCAAGATAGTGCCCAAACAAACAATTAATCACAATCAGTGACGCTTTATTTTTAACAATCCAACTGACAATTGTTGGGACATTGCTCAACATGCTCATGATATCAGTCACTGGTTTGCCTGGTGAGGACGTGACCTACAGGTGTCTGTGATGTAATATTGTAACAGAAGTAGAAAGGCATTAAGGCTGTTCAGGTTGTTTATTGTGCGCAGCTTCGTTCAGACGTCTGTTTCCAACTATGAAAATATAAACATTGCACTAAAAATCTGCAAGAGCACTGAACCACCATTTAATTAGTTCCACTGGTCCTTCTGAAGATTTACTGGACTGGGTATCACAGGTCAGCATCAGAGTCACAACTACTTTTATCCAGTCTTCATAATTCAGTTCAAATTTGAAGTATAGTTTTTAAAAAATGTCCACAAGAATATGTAACTTTTCTGTAAACATTGTATGATATAACATTATCATAAAAATAAGTGGGCTTAAGGATGTCTTAAAACTAATAAATCTGGCAAAGTCCTGAAAACCAGTCATTTAAGGTATTAACTGTAATTTAGCATACATGTAAACCTATGGGAGTTGTGACAATTTCTGGTGAATCCTTTTCATGTAAAACAAAGTAAAAATTCCCCCAAAAGTAAACCGTGTCAAAATCATATAAATATCTTCAGGAATATAGCACATGAAGCGCATATAATTGCCTGATAACCAACTGAAAATAACAGAGTAAAATCACAGACCAAGTCCATATTTTTCACATAAAATCAAAGGTGTTTCCTTCTTGTTCACATTAAGATCAGAACCTCGTGAGGGCCACCGCATCAAACACTGCACTAAAACACCTAATTCATTTCCCACGAGATAATGTGAACAAGATGTGGAGGTGTTGGTGATGGAGGGAGAGGCTGGCTCTCTCATTGGATGCACTGGATTCTTTCATTTAGGAATATCAGAACCTCATGTTTATTTCTGTGTCAGTGAACCTGTAATATTTGAAATATTTATGCTCATTTTTATGAATGAATCCAGGTTTATATTAAGAAAAACTGACTTTTGTTTTAAAAAGATGAATACAATTAATTATCAACACTTTTTAATGGATGAATCTGAATTGTCTCAAATATGTGTAATAGATGAAAAGTATGCAATTTTATAGACATTTTAAACATTAATTAATAAAAATTGGATGATAAATGGTCATAAAATTGAAATTGGGTGCTGGGTGAGTGAGTGATAGTTGAGTTTTATGTCGCTTTTAGCTATCTTCCAGCAAGATCACAGCAGGGAACACCAGAAATGGGCTTCACACAATGTACCCATGTGGGGAATTGAACCCTGGCCTTCGCAGTGACGAGCGCAACTAGCGCTTTAACCATTAGGCAACCCCACTGTCCCTTAAGAGTTTATAGGGTTTTATCTTGCCCAACATTGAAACACTTGTAGCACAGTGTTTTATGCCACTTTTAGCAATATTTCAGCAATATCATGGGTTGGCAGAAAGTCGAGGAATTCCATCACCGGCATAGAAATTTTAATAATAATTAATTTCCCCCCTTCAAAAAATAAAATCCTAATGTTAATGTGACATAAGTGAAATATTCTTGAAATCAGTCTGAAACCTAAACTCACTCAACTTATTTTAACTGATATAAACAAACCAAATGTGTTGTTTTTTTAAGAACAAAAATCCATAAAACAAGAAATGAAATTGGTGTGGCCTAAAAAATAATTATGATGAAATGGGGACAAAGTGACAGAGCCCTTTGATTTGACACGCTGCTCAGATAAATATCTAAACTCCTCAATAAGCAAAGCAGGAATTTCTCTGGACTGATAACTACAAGCAGTAGTAGGCAAGCACTAAAATTCAGAGATGCCAACCCTAATTTAGCCCAAATAGTATTTTGGCCAAAAACTGATGCAAAAATTAGTATATTTTGGCCAAAATTAGTATGAACTTTTCCAAAGAATTTTCATATTACATAAACTATGTAAATATATTGTCTAGGACCTTGTTATTGACATTGCACTCACCTAAATCAGCAGTAGGTATGATTGATACTGAATAAAATGTGATTGAAATATATTGTGTATGGTACGTATGCTATTTGATAATTTGATTTAATGTATTATTTTAAAAAATTTGTACATTTTTAATGCTATCATAGTCGCGTATTTTGTGTTGTTTTTTCGTAACGAATACGATAAAATCGTATGGGCTGGCATCTCTGAAAATTCTTATAAAATTGCTCTCTGTTGTTTCAATGGATCAATGATAAACAACTTAGCATTGAATCCTCTCCCTCTATATTTCCCCTATTACCAGTCATATAGAAGTCACCACTAGAGCCACAGTATTCATAGTTTTCTTCACAAGAGAATTTTCTATTAATTAATAAGGAAATATATTTCAATTTTGAGACATCTGGGGACTAATCCCCTGATCAAAACCCAGGGAAAGAAACCTTTCAAAATGTCCCACTAGACCACAGGACCTGCGAGTAGACAATAATTAGTGGTCCTGTCTGTACTTCACTGGTCCAAAATAACATTCGTCGATTTACTTAACTATCAATACAAAATTCACTGGCCACCAGGACCACTGCAAACCTATCACTTAGTGGTCCTGATGAATTTTCACTAGCCATGGACCACAGGACCAGCGTAAATTTTGCAGACTGAAAACTCAATTCTAAAAGTGATCTTAGCGGTAGGACAATCATAAATCCCATACTTTAGGTATATAGGCCTTAGTGCTGTTGTATGAAGCAACCTTAACGCTATGACTGTCGAAACCCAGATAAGCCCATGCTCCATCACCTTAGCGCTAAAATGATTGTCAGAACCCAGATAAGCCCATGGTCATCACCTTAGTGCTAAGATCGTTTTGTACAAAACCCAGATAAGCCCATGCTCCATCACCTTAGCGCTAAGATAATTTGTACAGAACCCAGATAAGCCCATGCTCAATCACCTTAGTGCTAAAATAATTTTGTACAGAACTAAGATAAGCCCATGGATGCTCCATCACCTTAGCGCTAAGATAATTTGTACAGAACCCAGATAAGCCCATGGTCATCACCTTAGTGCTAAGATCGTTTTGTACAGAACCCAGATAAGCCATGGTCCATCACCAGATAGTGCTGGTCCATCACCTTAGTGCTAAGATAATTTTGTACAGAACCCAGATAAGCCCCTGGTCCATCACCTTAGTGCTAAGATAATTTTGTACAGAACCCAGATAAGCCCATGGTCCATCACCTTAGAGCTAAGATTGTTTTGTACAGAACCCAGATAAGCCCACGGTCCATCACGTTAGTGCTAAGATTGTTTTGTACAGAACCCAGATAAGCCCACGGTCCAGCCTCCCTACTAATGCTTCACCATTCTCCTCATCTCTCCAGGATCAGCCTATAACCTCATCACCGGCATCTTCACAGCTCCATACAACGGCACCTACGTCCTGTCCTACAACGCCTTATCCCAGTACGGCCGAGCCGTGGAGCTGACGATGCTCCACAACGCTAGGATAATCAGCTCTGTCCATTCCCGGGAGACGGGTGGCTACACAGGAGTTAGCAACAGCATCGCTGTTCGCCTCACAGCGCAGGATCGGCTGTGGATCGAGCTAAGTGCGGGTATTTACTATGTGTATGGAGACACTGGCAGACACTCCTTGTTTTCTGGATACCTACTGTACGCAGACTGAAGACACGACAAAACTGACGACTGATCGTCATTAATTTAATATTTTTCATTTTGGATCATGTGTTGAAATCTATATGCAAAGAATTGTGAGACATTCGATTTGACATCAACATGATCAATAACGCAACATTTAATCACCTGATACTTTAAAGCATAATTTAAGCACTGGATTATAACATATATTTTCCTATTTTTATGCATTATGTCATATACCAGTATATTTTTGAAAGTAAAGTTTGAAAGTGAAAAATGCTACTGGATGTAGGGCTGTCCATGGGAAGAAATTATGAACAATTATCAATATAAAAATTGTGTTAAAATGGCATCTTAAATAACCTACTGTGATGAAATAAAGTTGAAATTTACACATCCAATACACAAGGTTATATTTTTATTCAAGGGTGGCTTCCAAATTATGTTCAAAATGTTCTTTGCTAGAATTCATGCGTAAATGTGTCACTCTACATCATTGACGTGAAGTATGTCTTTTGGCATTTATGCTCGAACCTACTTCTCTAATATTTATTGATAATTGATTGACTAGTTTTTACAGATTATCAATCTATCAATATCATTAGCCAGCCCTTACTGGATAGGCCATGTTTTGGTCTGGACTGAGGGTATACGGTATACAGGAATCAGAATAACTGTTGACTATTGTTGTGAATGTGAAGGAAGGTCCCAGTAGTGTTTGTTCTACCATGAGGCCCCCACAACGAGTTACACACATTAGATACATTGTTTTATACTTCTTGTACTGAAGGTGACATTAAAGAGATCATTTCCTCCTAACACTTACTTTTGAAAATACAGTCATCAACATATTGTCTTTCATTTTTCATTACCAGGTAGCTGATTTACAAAAGAACGTAGCCTAAAGTTTTATGCAGGTTGTCAGAAAAACAATGATGTTTAACTTACAGCTTAGTATTACTACTAATGGTATGGCTTTCTTAACAATAACATGCTTTATAGGCCTGGATATTGCCAATTTTGTTGAAATGAAATACTTTTTGAATTTGCTCTCTTTTTTCTTCCTGTTGATGACATGGATAAGCTGACAGCATATTCATCCAAAAATGTTTTCTAAACAAGGATACAATATTTATAATTTTTAATCAATGTTTAAAACTGGACAACAATATCTTTATTTAAATGTAAAGAATCTCTTTGCTAGGATTCATTAAACTAGTGATCTAATTATACATAGTCAGATTCTCGCAGCTTGACTTGTATTCATTATTGTTTGAGACAAGGGAGCTTACTCTAATTCCATTTGCCGATCTGCTGGATGTGTTGCTGTTCAGACAGGTGGTGGGGCTGTGTGTTTTGAACATGAACTTAAACAGGCCTAAATCGCATAGAAATGGCACAAGCTAAAGCACAAGGCACTTTAGTTGGTACTCTTTATTTTTCACACCATATATAAATTCAAGATGTTTCGGTTTGCGAGAGATGTATGTGCATGTTTCTTACGATTGTGAGCACTGTGCCACTTATGTTCTGTTTGTACATGTTGCAACAAAGACCATTTCTCCAGTGTCCAAAGATTTTGAGCAAGTATACAATTTCTTCTTGGGGATTTAAAGTTATGGATAAGAGTTAATAAAAGAAAATGTATCTGCAGTCTGGAGATCAGCAGGAAAACCTGCTTGACACGGGTTGAAACGGGTTCAAGGTGTTGTTCCAAACCATATGGACAATGAATCAGGAACTGACGATGGGTCAGACCTGTGGGAGACAGCTTCCTACTGTATTTCTCTATACTTGTGAACATTATTTGTGTGCCATTCTTGTACCAGTTTCGTTTGAGATCAAACACAATATGCGATGTTGTTTGATTACTTCATATCAGCCTATTTGTCAGGTCTAGCAGAATTTATGTCTCGTGCCTTTGTACTATATGATTACTGAAGTTAAATTTGTTTATTAAACATGGGAGTCAAAATAAAGTTTTTTTGCACTTCCTTCATTGACATGACGCCTGGACGGAGAACCTTTATCACTTGATGTGGCAGGTGTTGCAGGCTCACCTCCTACCTTAAACCATATTTAGTGTAAACCATATTTAGTGTAAACCGTATTTACTGTAAACCATATTTAGTGTAAACCATATTTACTGTAAACCGTATTTACTGTTTCGTACTGGTTGAACGGAGGAGGAGAAAATTATAAACAGATGTTAGTTGCCACTTTAACACTTATTGTCAGGAGGAAAATCCATAAGTTAAAAAATGATTTTGAAAGCCACACCATTATGGAATTATGATTGTGAAACAACACCGAAAGATATTTGATTGATTTTCTTCTGTTAGAAGACAGATGTATCATCCACTGTTTTTTTAAGTACAACAGTCATAATCTTGTTTTGGTCTCATGTGAACATTTCAAAATTTCATCCGATCGTAAGAAAGGTCTTGTATTGTCTCTGTACTGCAAGAATAGCAAGGTTACCATGGTGACCGGATGAAGATAAAATACCAAGAGATAATGCCCAATTCAGGTTCTACTTGCACAAAGCTGTCTTAGTGCTTCAACGATCACACCCTTCACACTTTATCATGCTTTATCAAGGACTTATTACAGTCTAAGCGTTGAGATTATTGCAATTCCAATACTTAAACTGAGACATATGATTGTTTTAACGCTAAGATGACTGTAGCTTCCAACACAGACTTACAACAGTTGTAGCACTATGGTTGCTATGTATAACAGCAACTTTGACCGACAACGCTTTGAGCAAGCGGACCCAGGATCCTTACTGTGTGTAACTTGTGATACCATGGTTACAGCCACAGTCTTCTAGGAAGTGACCCTCCAGCTTTATTGGACAAGAGACAGCCTGGTCTTGGTTATAGGAGCAGGGGTATCAAGCCATGATCTTCATCAAAGGATCTAAGATTTGAACCCTCATCCTACTCCGATGAAGCAAGCAAACAGTGTCCTTAAGTTTGGTTGAGTGAGTGAGTTTGCTAATAAATCCAACCCCATATGATGGATGATTTCAGTATTGTGAGACTTACGAAGTGATCAACTAGGGCTTAAGTCTGCTTCTTCCAATATATGAAGTGCATAACAGGGGACATCAGCGTTGGGCCAATATTGTATTAAAGTCCTGTCCTGGCAGTATATACAAGATATTAACCACTGGTTTGTCTGTGATAATGCCTGTCTAAACAATCGCCAAGCCACTGTCAACACCTGTTTCTATATTCACGTCGGTCAGCGCGAGACTTACCCAACAGCCCCACTTTGACATGTCCATGGGAATAGATTAGCAGACAATACAATATCAAACATTCTCAAACAGAATAAACGATTCATATGCCACAGTAGTTTTCAAGAGTGAAATAAAAAGCTGTAACAAAGATAGAAGGGAGATAACTCCTACCTTCCTCTGCCGTCAGCATGTGATGGTTGACGAGGAGGTCGAATGCTTCGTAGCAGTAGACATCTTGCTTCAGTGCCTCCTGGAAGCAGACTGCTGCCTGTTGTCGGTTATCCATTGCTTCGTAAATTTTACCTCGGAGTAGGTTCACTGAGTTTTCAGACTGGCAACAATAAACGAAAACTGATAGACTGATAGATCAGACAATTATTTATATTACTTTTTTGTGATATTACAAACAGAATATGTCGGAAAATTGATTTTGGATGATACCTATAATTTCATTCTCATGTCTTGATAAAAGCTTAATATATATAATATATGATGGACAGAATGTTCGAACAGAACCAAACATGGAGAACAAACACAAACTCGTATAAGGTGTTGGATAGTCACGCGCAGCTATTCACCACCTCATACAAGTGGTGCGTTCACATGAATGTTCTCAATTTACTTCATACTAAATGACACTTAGTTGACATTCTCAATAAAACAAATATGTGTTTCCTCAATTTTTGTGACGTTGTTTAATGCCGAACTAGCAACACTGCTGTCACATGACGGTGGCTTGTAAACCGTTGAGTCTGGGTGACCGACATCATGAGCATCAATCTACACACTGGGGATACGATGACATGCCTCACCCAAGTCAGCGAGTCCAATCCTAACAGTTGCCTCTAACAACAAGTGCGATGACCAATTCAAATCTGGATCTTCACAGCTATCAGATGAATCAGCTATTACTCAAGCTTGCGAGATGATGGTAATATCATCCATACATTTTTCCTAAATAAAGAATAACTACTTATTTGCCTCTTTATATAACATTTAAGATAGAATTTGAACTTACATCTTTAATAAGAAGGTTTGTCTCAGCATCTGTGAGGTTGAACCTAGGTGGCGCTGTGTTGAGTGAGTGAGTGTTATCCACCATGTCGAGGATGTTGAGTGCTTCCTGCCACTCCCGGCACTCGTACTGAAACAACAAGAACAGAGAGTCCTCAATCTTGCACCTGGTTACTGGACCCAGATATAGCCCAGCGGATAAGTGATCAAATTGTGCACTTTGTGTTACAAGCATGAAATTTGGCATGATTGTAGCTTATACCATTCTTATTAAATAAAGATCGAGAGGCCTCGCAGATTTTGTATATTTTTGATATTTTGGGGGAAAAAAGTGAAAAATGATAATTTTTTCTACTATTTTAATCATAACTTTTTCTAATATTCTCCAATTCTCAAACATCATATATCAAATTGTAGAAAATTCATAGCTGATCATTTTCCGTATATACATGTCTTGTCTATCTTTAATGGTTAGGTCTATGGAAGTCAATTTATATCATGATAACCCGAAAAAAGGAAATTTGACGGACATTTTTCAAAATGGCCACCATATAGACTACAACAGTGAAATAAGTATGAGATCATCCCATGATCTAACATTTTTTTATCATTTCTTTGCAAATTCAAAACGAGAAGCCTCGCAGATTTTGGCCATTTTTCATTTCATGAATTTTCCGAATTTTTTTATCTCAACTCAATTTTAAATCCTAATAAATTATGTATCAAGAATATTGCGAGAACAGATGAAAGTTTATTTGAAGGGATATTTCAGAAGATTTACATTTATCATCCAAAACTGTGTTCCACAGGAGATGACCGCCTCCGTGGTGTAGTGGTTAGAGCGTCCGCCCGAAGAGTGGAACGTCGCGGGTTCGATCCCCGACCGCGTCATACCAAAAGGCATTAAAATATGGTACTTGTTGGTCCCTGCCAGGCTCGGCATTAATGGGTACAATAAGGACTGGTTGGCTTTCGAGTCAGTATAATGTGTCTGAGTGGGGTATTCATGCTTCACTGCGGCATGGTATCTCAGTGGGCTAGCACTATAAAACTAGCTTCAGTCTGGGCTAGTACAAGCAGCCGCACATACACTGCGCATGCACGTCGTCATAGGGCTGAAACATTCTCAAGCACAACGTTAAACCCAATTTCACCTCACCTCACCTCCACAGGAGATATCGGCTTGTGTGAGATCATATGATATCTCCTAGGAGATATCGTTTTGACAGTACAATGCTCTGATTTTGTACAATGCTCTGACAATGCTATGGCGTCATGAACTGATGACGTCACAATCCTATGACATCGCTGCACTGCAAGTCTATCGGTAGTAGTACAGTGTTGAAGCGATTTACAGTTTTCATTGAAAAGTTATGAAGGATGATTTTTTATGATAAATAGAATCTCACCCTCGTGTCTACTGACATCAATTATATCAACACTCGTTGATAAAGGTAAAAATAAAATTTGTACCTTTATCAAATCGTGTTGATATGATTGATATCAGTAGACACTTGGGTGAGATTCTCTATGTATAATGTACGAGTTTGGTTGCCTATAGATCACCTATAAAAAACATATCAAATTCAACGCAAACATGTTTGATTTCAACATCAATGTCAGCGTAGCTATATTGAACAATCTGTGGCAGGTTACTCAATTAGCTCTTGAGTGGAATTGTATCTAGCTTGACTGAATTAGAAAATCAATTAGTCTCTTCCACATTTGCACAATGTAGTGCACTTTAGAGCTGCTCTTACATACTTGGGCCGGTTTGAACATTTTTTACACATTATTTATTATTATTAGCATATTATAGGATATTTGTATAGCAAAAAGTTCTTTCTTGTTGGCATCACACCTCATAAAACTTGTCAGTTCTGAGGAACACATGAATTGGCTTCCACTCGTCGTCCTTTTGCACTTCCTCTTTTTTGTTCTTGCACTGGATTTTTACGTTATGTTGATATTTGTCCCAAACAACATACATTCTCTGATTGGAGTTCAGAGGTGTATGCAAGTATTTCAAGAACATATTATAAAATATCCATATTTGAGCTGCGGGTTTTAGCATGTTTATTACTGCGACTCCATCAAGGATTGATCGTCAACATCTGGTTTTGAGTCAGTTTGTGGTGAAATATCTTCAGAGCAATTGAGAAGAGCTGATTTTGTGCTTGGACGTAGAGAACCTTGATGAGATATAGATGGTACATAAGAGTGATATTCATGTCTGAAAAAGTCATTCAGGTTTCCATCCCTTGACTTCGTCTGTATATATCTTGTCTTTATGGTAGAAATTTTACATTCATACTGTTGACACAAATGTGGTTGTGTTGGCCATAGCTGCAACAGGCTCTTGACCCCTACCAATGTTTCACAGCTTCACAGGAAGTGACAGTGTGTCATCCTTGGTAGAATTGGAAAGCAGACCTCGTGGAATGGATGGAAAGCGCTTACTGAAATTTCAGGCACCTTTATTTCCCTCGCTCGTCCACCACTTGAAATCACTAATGCATAGATTCATCAGCTTGAGAGATTTGTTGTGCTGCTGACAGAGCAAGCAACCACATGGAAGTGAATGAAGCAGGAAGCATTTGTTCCCCACGATGGGAGAACATTGAACAATATACCCCCAACAGAATCAGCTTTGATCCAACATATAGAGAGCTGTATATCCGGGGGCATATGTTTTGGGGCAATCCCTGATGAAATCACAGGAGCTACAAAGCCTTCTGGATAGGGGCTGGCAAAAACCTTCTCAGGGAGAGCTTGTACCTCTATTTTCAAGTCTTCTGAAGGCATCAAAGAGCTGCCAGGAATTGCTGAAATGCATTGTGGGCGAGCTGGGGAGCATGGTGGGCGAGCTGTCTTAGGCACCAGGCTAGTGATCCAGCAAGCTTGCCGGGATCGAGGCCACCTGTAACCAGCTGTAAAAACCTAGGAGTCAACTTTCTGTGCAGACTCTTTAAGTGTTGTCACAACCCCTAGTGTACAGTACACAACCCGGTGCACTCAAAAGAACCCATGAATCTGTTGGTAAATGACAAGATGGCGGCCACATGAATACGTCCAATTACCTAGTTGCAGGTACAGCAACGTGCAGTAAACCTGTACAAGGTGCTGTGACTATGTGTCCCAGTCCACCAAGCTGTGAATGGGTCCCTCGTAAGGATCGCGAAAGCCGCAATAACTTGGTGCCAAGTGGCTGCAAGAGTTGAGATTGGTAATACAATGTGCGTTGAGATTGACATCCAATGATCAAGGGGAAAAACCAAGCCTTGAGCATGTATCAGTTTCTTGATATGTGCGTTATATAAATATCCTATAATATAATAATAATAATGATAAATACTGTGTAAAAATGTTCAAACCGGTCCAAAGCAGCTCTAAAGTGCACTGCACTGTGCAAATGTGGAGGAGACGATTTTCTAATTCAGTCAAGCTAGATACAATTCCACTCAAGACATAAATGAGTAACCTGCCACAGAATGTTGAAATAGCTACTTTGGCATTGATGTTGAAATCGAACATGTTTGGGTTGATTTTGATATGGTTTTTATAAGTGATCCATAGGCAACCAACCTCATACATTATACATGTAAGTAAATCTTCTGATATACTCATGCCAATAATGGTTGTCACCCCTTCAATTGTTTTAATTGGAGAGGGTGTGTGGGCTGGGGTGTGAGGTGTGTGTGGGGGTTGGAGTGGGGAGGGGTGACAACCATTATTGGCATGAGTATATATTCCTTCAAAACTTTCATCTGTTCTGCAATATTCTTAATACATAATTTATTAGGATTTGGAAATCTATGACTTACTTAAGGTAAAATATGTTGAAAAATTACACACACACACCCCCACACACACACTCTCCTTCCCCCATTTTTAAAAATAAAATGGCCAAAATCTGCGAGGCTTTTCGTTTTGAATTTTCAAAGAAATAATGAAAAAATGTTAGATCATTGGATGATCTCATACTTATTTTACTGTTGTAGTCGATATGGCGGCCATTTTGAAAAATGTCCGTCAATTTTCCCTTTTTCGGGTTATCATGATATAAATTAACTTCCATAGACCTAACCATTAAAGATACAGAAGACATGTATATATGGAAAATAATCAGCTATGAATTGTCTACAATTTGATATATGATGTTGGAGAATTGGAGAATTACAAAAAAATTATGATTAAAATAGTAGAACAAATTATCATTTTTCACTTTTTCCCCCAAAAATATGAAAAATATATAAAATCTGCGAGGCCTCTCGATCTTTATTTAATAAGAATGGTATAAGCTACAATCATGCCAGATTTCATGCTTGTAACACAAAGTGCACAATTCAGTGAAAAAACTGCACTTATCCGCTGGGCTAATAGTGACAAACTGCATCTCAGCAACTTCAGTTAATCAGTACACATTTTATCAGCCTTTAAAGAATGAATTATAAAACATGAACATCTTCAATTGCCTGACTTTAGACTGATTTTGTTATTTCTATATCAAACTGCTTCCCTTGTTCATCATGTTTATAGACCTACAGTATAAACCAGAGCTCCAGATAGACTGTGTATTACAAAATATTCTGTCAGTATTACAAAATTACTTTTGAGCTGCAAAATTCCAAAAAATACTCAAAAGCCCAAAACTTGAACAACGCTCTGCCTAATTATCTTGTAGTTTGTTTTTCTGTATTTCTTTACGAATCTTTATACTTATCAAATGCAGGCTTCTCATTGGTACATCTCAGTGGTATTTCGCATGTAAGCCATGTACGCTTAAATGGAAAAGGCCACATGATTTTTGAAGCGTTATTAGCTTTAGGGAATGCAGTAAGAAGCATGGACCCGAGTCTATCCAGGTGTTACTCCTTAACTGACATACCCAGTTGTTTTGCTCAAAACAACTCATTCCACACACGACATCGTCATGCTTCATTGCAAACAACAATGTAGGATGTGACATCCTTTGGGGATTGTTGAGGTGCTGGTCTGGCACCAATGGTCCGAAGCGTTGGACACATATGGTGTGGACACTGATTGGCGGAGACTGTGTCCGACTTCTAGAAACACTCTTGCATTATCAATGCCGCTGTACAGTTACAGTGAAGTGCCATAGTAGAGGCGAGTGTGCGAAGTACTGGAGGTTGACGTAGATGTAGGGGAAACCAGACCAGCCGCATTATACGCATGAATAATGGAAGTCAGTATCCAAAAAAACACTCAGGGTTTTGCTAACATGCCTCTGACGGCTTGAGTTCGCTTAATGTACAAACTGAGTACACCAGCTGAACACAAGAGGAACACACGAACGTCTTCACGCCGACAACAGACGATAAGGGCGAAATAGAGAACCATCGATCATTTCGCCCTAGCTGGCAACGGGTGTGTAGTGATGAAATCCCCATAAAATACCCAGAGGTACAGAACCATGACTGCGTCGTTTAAACTGGATCCAATTAACACCAAGCGCACCAAACGTATGACCCTTGTCGCTATCGCTGTGCAAGTCTGCAAGGGAAGTGTTCGTGAGTGACTTGTAAGACATAACGCATAGGCGGTCCAGGACCATGTTGAGAGTCCTGGCCGGTGGTCAAAACTGCAGCTTGGGTACACTGACTGACTGACTGACTGAGTTTGGTTTTACGCCGCTTTTAGCAATATTCCAGCAACATCCCGGCGGGGGACACCAGAAATGGGCTTAACACATTGTGCCCATGTGGGGATTCGAACCCGGGTCTTCGGCGTGACGAGCCAACGCTTTAACCATTAGGCTACCCCATCGCCCCGCAGCTTGGGTACACAAGTGCTAAAGAAACGAAGCATGGACGGTAACTCCTGCCAATGGGGACTGCTAAAACGAAGGGAATTGCCACTAACAGAAGTGGCAGCCATGTCCCTCCTGAAACGCCTTCCATCTAAAAATACAGCAGGGAAACTGCTAAAACAGGGTGTGTGTGTATTCAGCGGATCCTGCTTTGTGGCAACACAACTGCTCGAACGACTGCCCCTTGTTATACATGTGCCTGATGGGAGTCTAATGTTCATCAGCAATGCAGTAATAATGCTCTGGCTGAAAAGTATTTGGCGCATAATGCCGCCTGCAGATGCAGTGTGTTAATTGAACCGTTCTGGCGTGGTATGAGGATGCACTATAGGATGTTTCCCCATCTGGCTAGATGAAGAGGGGCACTGGACACTAGACTGCTTCAAATCGGAAACCAACCTCTGGTTGGTCATCTGGGACCGACTAAATATAGTCAAAGTCAAGTTGTTAAATCTTGATTGGGACGAAAACATTTGGAAGCAAGACCGGAGGACACATATTTTGCGTGTAGCTCCCCCAGGAAAGGCTTAAGCCATCCACTGCCCAGGCTGACCATCCGGAGACAGAGACACATAAACCGGTATCTCTTGGTGTAGCATTCAGTCTGTGAAAGCGACTCTGTCAGATCCCGATATAGCGTCCGCTAAGAGGTACCTGCAACCAGGAATATGCTGAGTTCTCAGACAGACATGGGTGTCGGCTATTCCTGGAAAACAGACGGAACTTCTGGAAACAGTAACTCGGTAAAACTCTTGTTAAACCACACAACAATAGAATTGCCCGGGAGATAATGGGCCCAGTGACGGATAGCGAGGAACACTGCCTAGAGCTCCAAACTGCTGATTGATCTCATGACCGAAACCCTGAGATTATCAGATATAGTAATGGGGCGCCTCAATTCTGCATGTAGGCACCGACCTAAACATAGGTACTGAGGAACTCGCTCAGTCAAGGTGACTGCAGCTATGACATCTATGGGTGAGTCCACTACAAGAAAAAAAAACCTGAGGATCTTGTCTGCTTGAAAGAGGCTTCAAATGTACGTCAGTGTGTGTGATGGTACAAGGTCTGAAACGTCCCGGTTGATAAGTCAACCCAGCTAATTAGCCCAGCTAGTATAAAGACGTATGGTGAAAACCGCCTGCTGTCCATGCTGTAATGCTGTAATTAGACCATATGGCACAGAGCACACGTGAAATCACCAACTTATCACTGTTGCTGCATTATGATATGAGTTAATAACCATGGAGCTGTTGAAGTAAAAGCGCAGGTTTGGACCCCCCAAGAAATTACCAATTACGTCAGAAGTGCAGTAGTCACCAATGTACGGGTGTTTGGATAATACAAGGGGCTCTGGAGGAGGGATTGTCCAGTCGTGTGGATCTTGAGCTTCATTTGCCCCTGCCACAGATTGGAGCCTGATTCCAAGCCCGCCTAACAGTGTGGCATCGAGGCAATAGTAAGTACTGGATTCATGTGATGAGGGATGTTGGACTTGCTGGAAGGCCGTCAACGCTATCTCCCTCTGAGGAAAGTCGCACACTGTTCGATAAACGTCCTCGATCTCGTTATTAAATATGGTAGTCAAGGATTAGGGTTGGCCAGATAGATTCCACTGAAACTTTGAATCCCAACCGGAAAAGGGGAGAGAAATCCTTGACCTCAAATAACACATGCATTGGCGAGATCTGCCCATAAGTGTTCGCCAAGGACAGTGAGGACCATCCACTACCAAGTCACCATAGAAGAGAGGTGACGATCCTGTACGGATTCATCTCAGGTCAGGTCTGGAGAGAGAGTGTTAATAGCCCGAAGCTAAGTTTGAGATAGGATGAAACATCCCTGTGAGTTCCAAATCAAGGGTCGCCATCCCTTGAGACTGACGCCTTGTAAGACGCACTGTACGAAGAAAACTGTCACGCTCTTCATTTCTTAACAAGGGATTGCGTAAACTCCACGCTTCAGCCTTAGGCGCCATAATAGTTGAAGTCTCCGAGGGCAAGGTGTGTTCGTCTCCCGACGTAGGGGCCATCGGAGACAGTGGCGCAACCAACAGCTGCCGAACCCTAGAAGATGTTGCAGGTGGTGACGCAGTATGTTAAACACCGGAGGCACTGGATATAGTGGAGGCATCATATAGGTGCTGAATCTGGTAATATCGCTGCTGGAACACAGTATTCAGAGTCCAACACTGTTCCATTGCACTGTCTGCCTGCTTGAGTGAGCATGGGTTTATAGACGCTAGATCAAGTAGAGGCGCCATACAGGTGGTTGCATCTGGTAGAAAAGCCGGACAAGACGCTGGAGTGAGTGGGTATGATTGTATAGGCGTTGGATCTCGAAGAGGCGCCGTACAGCTTGTAGCGCCATACAGGCGCTATATCTGGTAGAAAAACCGGACAGGCGCTGAGGTGAGGATCGTTTTATAGGCGCCGTACAGGCACTGGGTCTGGTAGAACCGCCGGACAGGCGCTGGAGTGAGCAAGTGAGTATGGTGTTATAGGCGCCATACAAGCGCTGGATCTTGTGGAAACGCTATACAGGCTCTGGAGTGAGTAAGTATGGTTTACAGGCACCGTACAGACGCTGGATCAGGTAGACCATACATTTGCTGTAGTCAGGAACGAAGCTGGGACAGGTAGGTGTTGCGACAGAGACGCTGACACCAGCTGCTGAACGCTGAGGTCGTAGTCGATGTGGTAGATGCGCCGTACAGGCGCTGCAGTTATGAACAGCAGTTCATAGACGAAAAAAAAGGTGTTAAGATGATATATTAAGAAAGCGCAACAAGCATATTCATTCATGTGAAAAACGAGGAAAAACACGGAAAAGTGCAATTCAAACAGTATGAATGAATGAACTTATGACATACCCCGCCTTACAAACTGTACAGCGTGTGCAGTATATAAACTGCAACATAGTAGAAACCCCAAGCAAACACAGGGTGAAAAAACATTACAATAGTAATGAGGAACACACGGGGAAACAGTATAATAGTAACGGGGTATAACAGCATAATTGAGAACAAACGTCTCACAAAATACTGACAAAAACTGGAGACCAGAATTAAGGCTTAATAATAATATACGATAATAGTATAACAAATAAGCATGAGCCAAGAACAAGCCACTGTGAACACATCGAAGCCACGTGTTCTGAATGGCGAAGTGACCGATAATAGTGATGAAAACTACCGTGTTTATCACAAACACCATCACTACAACAGTACTACAAAAAAGAAGAAACAGAAGGGTAATATGTACACTCTCTGAAGAAAAAAGGAAAACACCCGAAAGTCAGTTTATTATCAATAAACACAATTAATAGGATACAAATCAGTCGAGCTGGCAAACGACACGTCTTGTGAGGCGTGCGAAAAGCAATAATCTGAGGTGGCTGACGTCACCTTCCGGTGATGCGTGCACAGACGGATGTTTATCCGAGACCAGGAAGTGATCACAGTCTACGCTTTTAACATCAATCATCTGGCACAGCCACGTTTCGAGTCGTAAGCAATAAGTGCAGGAAGTAAGTAGGTTAGGATTAGTTAAAAATTAGAGCTCTGATAAGCATTACAAAGCAAAACCATTGTTCCAACTACTGACTGGCTGGAGTAAAACTACCATTTCCAGCTGAGTTCTGCTGTGAATACCCTTAGTGTAAAATAGCTGTGTACAAATCAAGCCATATACTTACATGACATTTAGCAGCAAGGTATCGACATGATGGATGTGTCTGCAATGAAAATGAAAACGTCAGCTTACCAAATGACATGCTGAATCAATGAGCCATTCAAAGTATTTATCAAATACAAAAGTACTATCAAACTTTTAGTAAGCATTTCTGACAAGAACATAGTACTATCAAACTTTGAATAAGCATTTCTGACAAGAACATAGTACTATCAAACTTTTAATAAGCATTTCTGACAAGAACATAGTACTATCAAACTTTTAATAAGCATTTCTGACAAGAACTTTGTACTATCAAACTTTTAATAAGCATTTCGGACAAGACCATTGTACTATCAAACTTTTAATAAGCATTTCGGACAAGAACATTGTACTATCAAATATTTTATGAGCGTTTCAGCCAAGATTACTGCTGTTTGTTTCTATCATTGCTGGCATCATCAAGCTATAAACTATAAACACCGTGATAATGTTCATGACACTGAGTTAGTGCTCCATGGTTCAAATTACTTAATGTCTGACACAATCAACATAAATATTTTCAATATTGCTATACTGCTGAATTCATTTGCCTGTGAGGCTACCGAGGTCTGTAAGTGCCTGCTGAATGATTTCTGAAGAGCTGGGTTATTGAGTTTATAGAGTATACATAGACTTCTTTGGAATGATTTTTCCCCTTATCTCCTCTTATTGTAAATATTCTTTAGCCTCTCATTCCACTTTTTTCATTGCAATTGCTATAAATTTTGCTTCTTAACCATGTTAACCTGCACAGAGTTTTGTCCCTTGGGCACGCCAGGAACCAATAATCATTGGTTTGAATCTTTATTTGCCCTAATGATATTTTCAGGTTTATTTTTACACCAACAGTTTCATGTGTCTCTCACAATCAATAAAATCCGAATTTCTTTTGATAGTGATTACATACTGTATCTCCCATTAGTGTTGGGAATTGGTTGAAATCTCATAATTGATGATTGCTTCATTACCAACGAACAATCAACGATAAAAATTGGTTAGCGTGAATTTTCAGATTTTCCTATCCAGGTTGTTATTGCAGATATGTATAACATGATGCACCTTGCTACTTTAAAGTGATGTTGATATATCATGAACATAAACCTTCTGGGGTCTTCAAGAAATACTCAGTCATGACTTTTCAGTTAGTGAAGGGAGTTTTCTAAGAATTAAACAAGTTTTCAGGCCCTGACAACCTCGAAGATATGTTCCATCGTCAAGTGTTTCAAAGACTAAAACAGCAGTTCCAAAATCGTTTGTGTTCGATTATGAGAAAATGTGATCGATTGCTTGGTCGTTTGGTCACTTCAACCAATCTTCGATTATTTCAATTAATCGGAACACCACTATCTCCCATACCACCCACTATCAAAGCTACCTGTTCAGTGTTGTCAGGGAAAGCCACTTGGACACTTGAGTCATATCTGCATGTGTCGGATATTGACAGAGAGACATATTAATCAGAGTAAAACATTTTATTTATTGACACTGACTAAGTTTTAACATAAAACTAAATAAATCATAAAGGGAGACAACCCACCTTGTCTAACTTCTTGTTTCGCAATAGATGTGAGGCACGGTGGTACTGGCCTGTGAGGTATAATGTCTGAGCATACCAATATACATCTTCCACAGAACCTGCAGGATTGAGAACAGAAAACATAAATATACTTTGAAATAGGTTTTAAGAAAACAAATCAACTTTTCAATGACAGCCTCCTCTACTGATATCTGAGATATTTGAGCATCTCCAAGGAGGTGTTACACTGAACTCAAATACAGTGAATCAGAAATTATCAGCTCTTCTGTACATGTTGAATTGTATTTAGTATTTGTTAATTTCTGATTTGAGTACTTTCGATGTTCCACAAAAATAAAAATCAACATTATTTTTTTAAATATAAGCCACATGCTCAGTTGCAATAGCCATCAATGACGGAATATAGATCAACATAACATAACACATCTATGTAACACATATTACAAAGACTACAACAGCAATCAGCTGTGCACACGTTACTCTCATGATCTACTGTTGGTTCAATTAAACCATAAGCCCATTTCTGGTGTCCCCCGTCGTGATATTGCTTGAATATTGCTAAAAGCGCAGTAAAAACCCAACTCACTCACTCAATTAAACCATACCCAATATTAGAACAGAACAGAAACAATGTTCAAGCAATAGTCAGAGGAAATTAAATAGGAAACTGCTTATTGTATCAGCAATCCTCGTATTAAACCACATTTTCCACAAAACTTTGAAGCTGATTATGTTGGATAAACAAATAAAATGTAAACAGAGGTGAGGATAGTCAACTCCAAATTAATCCTATTCCTATCTCTCAGAAAACAAAGTGTGATCAGCAGTGCCCCAACTTGTCTGTGACAAACTGCATTCACTACTATGTATTTGTCACTCCTCTTTCATGCCTGATGCTCCTTTACCTCTAACAACACTATATAACATGAGCTCGTAAATACATGGATTAACAAGATTAAGTACTAAACATGTAAAGGACGAAGAACTTTTGAGTTTATTACTTACCTCCAGACAGTGATACAAGCTTATCTGCCCAAAACAATGCTGAATCATAGTGGTGCTGAAAAGCAATATTTTCACAAGGATCAGTATGAATAAGAACTGTATGAGCAGCTTATAACTCGATAACCATCTATCAAAACTAAATAATCTACTGACTATTACAACATGATTGATCTGCCTTCTTGACGTTAGAGAGAAAAAATCACCTGGTAACGATAATAGTGTTAGAATCTACATCTGCTCTATATAATAAACAAGAAGTTGTTATCCACAAAGTCATATGCTCCATTATGAAAACATGTACTGAATCAATAGAACATACATTAAAAAATTGAAGATTAAAACGGTCTCTAAGCTGCTGTTATGCAATTAACACTCAAAGGACTATTTAACATTTACTTTCCAATTAAGGGGTCTTTTCAGAAAAAATACCATCCTTAGCTGCACTTTATTCCAGCCATATAACACTGAAAACATGTGTAGATATACAATGCCGTCCGGTAAGTCTGCGCACCTAAGCACATCAATCGCAACACGGCAACTAACGTCTCTTATTTTTTGTGGTTTACGTGAATAAACATGCTGGTATGCATCATATTTACCTAGAAATATAAGTTTTATTGACGACTACAAGATTCTAACATTGCATTATGCCATACAGTTGACCTTACCAGCGTTCTGACGACATCACCTGCTGTCCGGTAACTCTGCGCAGCAACTGATGCGCATAACATCCGGCTCAGACAATATGGCGGACGTTGGCAAAAGCGAAAACCTTTTGTCCTTAATTACGTGAATCAGTGAAGCTAGTACATACTTTATCATGTTTATTGACTGCAAAAGTTTATACATGCTATTGTGAATTTACTTCCATGAGCAATCAACATTTTGCCGTGGAGGTGTCGGGGTACTTGTATGAATATTCAACAGGTCACCATGAACTTGTCAGCGAAGTGGGTGGGCGTGACAGGTATTTACATTGATGTTTTTCATAATTCAGTCTTGTTCATAATTATTTTAATTTTTTTAAAAAAAAACATGTTATGCCTATGTACTTAGCTTTAGTGGTTAAAAGCCAGTCCCTTGTAGAAATGTCCTGATTTCAAGCGTAAACATGGTAAATGTGGTAGCAGACGATGCTTACCTTCGATACGGAAGTACGTTATTGCAGCTGCGCAGACTTACCGGATGCGCGAACTTACCAGAGTTGCTTGTATCAGAGACCATATAATAGATTATATGGTCTCTGCTTGTATACATAATTTTATCATAAACATGACGTCATATCTAAAGCAAATTTGCTACACACATTATAATAAACACATAAAAAAAAAAAATAATCTAAAAGTTGAGGAGAAAAGGAGACACAAAGGCTGTCAGAAGAGTTGGTTGAAACAGCCACTAAAGAATTCTACAGTCAAGCCATGACCCTGCATCGCGCGATGTAGATTCTTGACTTTGTGGACCTTGTCGAGTCTCACGTCACGTGAAATCAGCATGATCAGTAAAACCAGAGCCAAAGAAGGAGTTTAGCACTAATCATTCTGTGACCAGTAAACTGTCCTGATGTGCTGAATATCTGTTTTTCTATCGCCATACCATCATTTCTTTTGGAATGTAGCGTTAAACATTACATTTTCGAAAACATGATCATGCCAGTGATAGATTTGTGATCGTGTGTCAACTGTCTCCACCTCAGTCGAGCAACGTTGATGTCTTCGATAGTGGTGCATGTCTATTTCGGGTATTTGTTACCTTATCAATGTAACTCCTCACTCGTTCTCTCAACCTTACAAGGTTTATTTTGGTTTCGACAGATGCTTGTGGAGCACTTCCTTCAATTTCCCCCGCCATCTTTGAATGAAGTATATATTTAACCAATGAAAATGGATGTACTGTTCGTCATTCTAACAATTAATTTCATTGGATATTAGTAGTGACGGGTGGCCAATGTTTAACGGGTTGACTATTGCTCTTTGTACAAAGGTTTTCTATTGGTTAATCTTTGGCATGGCAACAGCATAGTGTACAAAATGGCGACTTACATGATGTAAACACAATACAGCTTAACTTGGATTTTGTAACACTTATCGTCTTGATATTGGAAATCACGATATAGGAAAGGTATGTAGTTTGATCCCACGTCCCCTCGTATCATGTCCACATGTATCTCTATGTATTTCACATGTATCACATGTATCTCTACGTCATAGAAATGCTGTAAAATCGTACTATATTGTGGGGGTCCTATAAGAATGTACCTCTCCTGTCTGTTCTGTATTCTTAAGGTGTACCTCTAAATTGTTATGGGGTGACTTGGGTGTCAGCGCCACAAGTAGCTCTTTTTCGGAGACATTATGACCTCTATGACCTCGTAGCACCTCAAATAATCACCAGGTACAGATAACAGACAATGTCAATCATTATGTCTCAGATCTGAGGAGCTGCCATAACACATTTGTCTTTCATTGAAGTACTGTTGGACTTAAGCCTTCCAGTAATTTGTTTAACAGCACTATCATGGAGCTTCCTTCCAACAAATAATCTCAGTAAATAATGATTAGTTCAATGAATATTTTCTAAAACAACAACAACAATAAAAATAACAACCACAATTCCATAAAGCAAATACAGATGTGGAGTATTCTTTAGATTTATGCACCTTTTTGTAATGATATTTGATATGCATTACATATTGTAAAGGAAGAAATATCACATACTTCAGCCCCAACCTTTATTACCATGATTACAGATGTCTGAGCCAGGTGATGAATATGCCGGTGAGGCTAAGTCTATGGTGGATGAGGTCATACAGAATGCACTCAGACGATTAGAGACAGGTGTCTTTGAGCGAGAGAAAACCAGCGACTCCCAAAAGTCTGATATGCTGCCTCCTTCACGAGAGACCACAATAATCAGAGAGGAGGATTATGAAGTTGACAATATCAAATGGCTAACAATAGAAGAATTTTCTCCTGATGCTGCAGAAAAGAAGATTAATGAATTCATTGCGGTCTGTTATGTTTGCAAAACTCTTCAATAGTATGAATACACAATGTCATTTAGAATGTGGTCAGATGTAACACTTGTTATATTTGGGATGACATTTTCTCAGTAAAGTACAGTATCTAGTGCTTTTTGAGGTTGAGTGCCACCCAGAGATTTGAACCCACAATCTCAGAGTGAGGCACCTAATCACCAGCAGACAAGGTCAGCAATCTAACCCACTCAGCCACCACACTTGCACAAAAAATGGAAGTCTGACAGCTGGTATTCTAGATCACATACTTTGTGTATCCCTCTGACAAACCTCGAGGCTCTGGGGTAGTCTAGTGGTTAAAGCATTCACTCGTCATGCCAAAGACCCAGGTTCAATTCCCAACATGGATACAATGTGTGAAGCCCATTTCTGGTGTCCCCCGCCATTGATATTGCTGCAATATTGCTAAAAGCGGTGTAAAACCATACTCACTCACTCACTCTGACAAGCCTACTTGGCATGGTTCCATGGTAAATAAGATAATAAGCTAATCAGTGTATAAAAAAATAATGCTGATATCAGCCCAAAATCATTCTTTCAAAATCAACCTCCACAAGTAGCTGTGACAGTGTGTGTCATATCTATCATCTACTACACAAAAGATGATGCCTACTTGTTTCTCAAATTTATTCTGAATCTTCTGAAAGTGGCATGAAACATTATATTACTCATTCACTGACATGATTTGAAATATGATATCCTTAGGACCAATATAATTTCAGGAAATTTGTAAGCAAAGTTTGAACACTTAGATTTATGACATGAATATTTTTGTCAACAGACCTGGGAGTATGAGAACAGCTGGCTGTACTGTGTTGACTTTATGGGTGAAGATGATCATGAGTTTGACAGACGCTTCCAGTTCCGTGTTCGATGGAGTATACCCACAAGAAGGAAACCCATTCCACGTGCAACAGCTTCAGTGTATTTCACGTTCGTCGTCTCCAAGATAAAACCCAGGGTAATCATGCTAGTCATGAAATATTTTTTAATGTAACTTACACTCTTATTAGCATATATTATCAGTGGTAGAAACGTCAATATCCTGTTAATAATTGTCAAGCAAGACAAGACTAACCATTACACTATTCTTTAAGCCTTCAGCTGATAACATTACTCATCTCAATCCTCAGGATTCTATGTCATCACTCATGTTCTCATATTTCCCTGTTTTTTTCCAGAATTACCCAGTTGAAGTTTTCTATGTTTTTGAAACAAACCGTCTTGTTCACAAGTAAGTATTGAATAAAATATCATTCAAACATATCAAGAAGAATGAAAAGAAATTTTAGATTTTCAGTAAGCTGTCATTCACGTCTTATTTAGCAGGTTCTTTATAAATACTTCATATTTGCTGAAAGAATAATGTCTAGCATTTTCATTATCATCTTCAACAGTGAGGAAACAAAGCAATCAAACTGATTACCAACATGATTTGGATTTCCTTTTGTGAACTGAGATTGAGTGATTACATGTTGGAAAACTGACATGACTGCCCAAACACTTCTTCAGAAATATTGATAAATCTTAGTGACAGGCTTCAATTTAATAAGTTCCAATCAATCCAACATTCTACAATGTCCTAAGTTTATGTGTTCAGCAGGACCGGCACTCACTACGGGATAGCATTTGTGTCCATTGTTATTTTTATGTAAACAGATTCTATGAATGAAAATTATAAATGAAGGGTTTGACCTTTGTTTTTTCCATGGATTAGAGTGTGTTTTTTGTGATATGGTAAGTGGGGAAATATGATATGAATTTGAGATTTTGTTATTCAGAGACTTATTAATACATTGCTTTCTGTATCATGCATATAAACCGATCCCATTATGTCACACTTTAAGATTAGACTATTTTTAAAGAAATGATTGATTATTTCCTATCTTAACACAGCACATTATTTTCCTACTTTTCATTTTCTTGTATCAAAATAAAGTAAACATTATCAATAGTAAACTGGTTTCATGAGTCGATGCCATACACTGCCACATATTGTTAACACAGTAGTGGATAGCTATTCAAAGAGGGGTAACTCTTACATGCTTAGTTATTCTCAGTACAGTTGAAGTCAGGAAGTAATTATTCATATATCGATATTTATATATGTATTGTCTTGTACATGCTCTTCAGATGCAGTTTTAATATTGTAAAAACAGTAACATTTAAGCCATTTCAACATATTGAAAACAAACTCAGTGAAAAGAAAACATATAAAATTTACGTGTATTTCAACTAGCGTATTCATGTGACCTGTTTAGCATGTGATGTCAGAGTGATGTTATTGTAAAAATATAACAAAACAAATTATCTTTTTTTGGGTATATCACAAAATGAAATGAAATTTGTCAGTAGATCTTTCTTTATTGATAATCAGAAACAGTTGCTCTGGCAACATAACAAACACTGTCTGTAGGTAGGCAAAGCGTACAGCCATGTGGAGTACTATTGATTTACCCCCAGGAGAGCCGAGATCGTTGTGATGTCTGGATACACACAGTCAGTTGCAGTCTATAGTGTTGACAGATAGCCACAAAGAACTTTGCCAGCAAATTTATGCTCATACTTGAATCTAGATGATTTCTCAAAGTGTTTTATGTTGTCCTATTTTGATAACATTTACAATGGATTACTCAGTCTGTTTTTTTGGGGCAAGCCTTTTTTGTGAAATAACTTGTGAGAAACACATTTACTGGTATCAGACAAATTGAATGTGTATTAATATGTTTTTGTGGAATCTTGTTATTTGTTGCCACCTTTGACCTTTTTACCTGGTTTTGAGGGGTGATGGAGTAGCCTAGTGGTTAAAGCACTGGCTCGTCACGCCGAAGACGGGGGCTTGATTCACCATATGGGTACAATATGTGAACCCATTTCTGGTGTCCCCCACTGTGATACTGCTGGAATATTGCTAAAAGCTACATAAAACTAAACTCACTCACTCACCTGGCTTTGAACTCCTTATACTTGAGTTATGGTGTGCAGAGTTATTCTTTCAGGGTGATGTATGTAATGTATTAGCAGTGTTTGAAATAAGCCAGAAACCTTAGAGCCAGACACTAGGGCTGGTGTTATGAGAGTGTGTTTTTTGTAATTTGTAATATCACATTGATTAAGTGATACTTATTTTGGGTTACAATGTTTAAAGTTTTGAGTATGGGTTGTGGCTCACATCTCGCATCATATATGTTCAATGGCAATAGTATTTGTAGTGGCACGCCATTTTGATAGCGCTTCAGAGTTGCTTCCCTAATAGGCTGGCTTGTATTTATTTTGACTTCCGGCTTTCATCATGTCATGTGTTCCACATGATTCCATAGTGTTCTGAGAGAATTATGATGCATCCTAGCTTTGTTAGAATGCTTGAGAACTGTGTAAGAGCTATATAAAGGCTGGTTGTTGAGTTATGCAATGTGGGTCTAAAACCTTTTGTCATGGCAAATTATTAACTGTAACACTGGTAACTTCAAAATGTTACCAGCCCAAATGGAATTTAACCAGACCAGACACCAAGATATGTTGAATTTACTCAGATGTATGGGACAGCTGAAAATTTTACCAGACCATTGGACTGGCTTGCTGTAAATTTTGACCGTCCGTCAGAAATCTAGCCTGTCCTGGGCGGTCGGACAAGCCTTATTTCATACACTGGTATTTGTGGTAATTTTGTTGTTGTCAATATCATTATGATTATATTATGATGGTGATCATCATCTGTGTATTTTCAGACCTGGGATGTCTCGGTTCAGGGAAAAGTGGCTGAAGGATATCATTGAAAGCAAGGTGATCATGATGTCAGCAGTCACGTTTTGAACAGCGAGCTCAGAGATCTGTGTACAATCATTAGATACACAAACACTTAATGCAGTGCAAACCAACAACAAACAGTTTTATGAGATTCAGACTGTTGTAAATTAGAAGTCTGTTACTACTCTTCCTACTGATAGCCGACCAAGAAGTAACCTAATCATGATATCCACATCTGTTGTAGGCCATGCGATATCATGACAAATTGTGATACCCGGAAATTTTCTTATTTCACTTTCTCATTTGTACAATATGTCAATTATTCACAGATATGGCCACAACAAGTTGAAATTTGTTCTCAGAATTTTCTTACCATTTTAAATTATGCTTTGTTGTTGCTTTTGTGGCAATTTTCAGACTATGATGCTTCAACTTGTCTTAAGATGTCTGGCACAAAGCTAAGTCAAAATAGTTATCATTGCAAATCAGCGAGTGTTTAGAAGATGTACAAAGAGAAATTATATCTGAGAGTAAGAGTAAAAGATGTTCATCATAATAACAGGGTTAACAAAACCTTGTTTTACTGCGGGAAGACCTGCGCTTGTTAGTCAAAATACCTGTAGAAGTCCTTGTCGTGTAAGTCAATACATTGTTAGAAGTCAGTGTTCCTCACTAAAGTCTGTGATGCTCTCAGTAAAATGATGTTTGTTCCAGAATTGAATGTTCCTGTTACAGTATATTTTGTTATGATTGTTTGTGTTATTCCACACATTAATATGCTGTGTTCCGTGGTGTGAAAATATTTCTGTATTGTTATATGTTAATCATTGTGTTGTGCAAATCAATATCTGTTATAATTCATTCTTAAACTGATTGTTTTTGTATATGATTTTTTGAGTTAATTTGTGTTAGCTAGCCATGATATTTAGAGGTGGTGGAAGAGCAGTCTGATGGAAATATCAACATGGATCTTCCAGTATATAACATGGACATTGCCTTTGGTATTATGTGAAAGAATCATGGAGTAAGCAGTAGGATTAAATTCATGAAGACAAAAGCCGACAGGGTTTCAGCTTCTTTCATGACAAGGTGTGTCATTGACAGCAATACCTATTATGCATACACAATGTTTCAAAGTTATTTCATTACCCTTTTCTAAATTCTTTGATAGCTCAGGTATATCGGTACATATCCAAAGCAAGTGGTACAGTCATAAAGTCAATAGCATCTGTACTGAAGTGTCGTGTTGAATAAACAATAAGGACGTAATCCTTAAGTCAACTGTGTCTTCATTGGTGCTGATTTTCTAAGCTGTTCCTCATCTGTCCTGAGTCTGTACCTAGCCAATAAATACTGGTATTACATGCTTATCATGTGATAAGAAGTGCTTGTTCTTGAGTTCAAATGTATTTTCCTCAGGTTTAGGTATCGTACAAGTAATGTGGGGGCTGATCGATGTTTTTGTCATTCATTGGGGCATTTACTTCCATGGTTGAAATCTTCAGGCATATCCTTTATGCTGTTACACAGGAGAACCAAGACCAGGTTGATGCTTGTCCATGTAGATACTGTATGCTAACATATAAGTAAATTATCATGATAATAATGTATTTCTATTGTGATGAAGAAAAATCTTAAACAATCAAATTGGTATTAGTCTGTCTTGGAATATCTGCAACGTGTTATGAACATATTTGGGGCACAATGACGAACATGTTGAATGGCGTACTAGTATTTGACATATTAAGTCACCTGTTGACTTGTTACACTAAGATCATTTTTTTGTTGAAGAATTCCTTCCTTAGTTTCTGTTTCCTGCCACCAGCATGTGTTTTTTACATGTTTGAGGTTGAGTAACAGACTGATGATATTTGTATAGTTTCTTAATAATCATGTGAAAATATTTTGTAAATATGACTTCTTGACCTGGGTTTCTCACTTTTATGGCTGATGGTTGAAATAAATTATTCATGGCAGCATATATACCTCTTGGACTGTAAATATTACTAAAACCCTCCTTCAAATGTCCATGTGCTTCAGTAAGTTGTGTTGTGTCCTCTGTTAGACAGGGATGATTTTGTTTTGTGATGAAATGATTATGGATTTAACATTTTAGTGACATATACTACAATATGTATTAGGATACTGTTTTATTTGAAATGTGTAAATATACATAAACAGTTTATTTCATTATTATGCTTTGTTTGTTGTGATGTGTGTTGATGACACTCCAGGTGATGACTGACCTCTACAAGGCCATGTGGTTGTTTTACCTACAGCTTGTTCAGCTTGACCTGAGCTACTCTACATATGCATGACCCAGGAGGTCAAATGGCACAAACGGCTGGTCGAGTTAACTTCATTAAATAGGGGAGCAAAGAATGTTATTAATGTTGCGTTCGTGCAAAGCATGCATACATGGAGTCGTTACAGCCCGAAACGGAAACATTAGACCATCTGTAGCTCCTTATTTGAAGAAAGTTAGGACATTGCTGACGATTTTTTGATACAAACGGTGACCTTGTCTCGGTTGTTCGGACATGTTGACAATCAACTGACAAAGGTGCACCGGTTGACAATAATAGACCGGTCACAATGCATTAGTATTCACTTGATCAGGTCAAGCTGAACAAGCTGTACATGGACTAGGTGCTTTTTGTCTTCACAAAGACCATTCTGTTGTCATCATTGTAGGTTGTTGGACCAACTTCATTTTCATAGTGGTGGCACATGGCACAGGTCACAAATCAGGTGAAGTTACTTGACGCGAGTTGTGTAAAGTAGACGGAACGGTGACTGTGTTCTGTGGCTGAGAAGATTCTGGTGCATCAGCCCTGTCCCACCTTGAAACATGCTGTGTGGCATCTCCATATATAAGTGACTTTGTTCGAAGTATGTCTCCCTTCAGAGAGCAGTGATTGTTTACATTTTAGCACCACACTAATGATAATGAACGTGAATGCACATGGATCCAGAGAGAATGAGAATGAAAGAGGTTTACTGCTGTTGTGTTTCTGTGGTATGGCCATGTGTCAGCTTGACGTGTGGAAGGAAAGACCTCATCTTTGAGGTGTATGATGAAGATCCAGCATTGTAATGATGACACTCATTACGCAGTCGTTTAGATTGGAAATGGCGAGTCTAATCTGTGAACATTTGAACCATATACGGTAGCCACATCACAATGTCCTATGGCTGGAGTGAGTGAGTGAATTGTGTTTTTTGCTGCTTTGAACAGAATGTTACGTGTATATCTCAGTATGTCAGGTCAATGTAACAGGCCAGCGTGAATAGATGCAGGTTTTTACAGAAACGCCATATTGGCACTGCACTCATGGTGGCATGGTCCAGATAACTGAGTGTTGATAACTAATGGTATATTTTTTTAGTATGGGATTTGAACCCACAATCACAGGATCCTGGCACATCTAAGGGAGTTCATCAGGATGAACTGCTGTGTCTCAGACATTGGGGCCTTTATAACACCTGATAGTTAAGCACATTCTGTCTAACTGTCCCTGAACCATATTCTAGTCTTTCTACAAGAAACTCTGATCTCACTGAGACTAACTTTTCACTTTAAATATAGTTGCTCATGTCTATCAAAGCATATATATTTTTCCTTATCCTGACTCATGCTTATTGCTTGTCTTCTTCTTCTTGCGAACATAGTGGAACACGTGTATCTCCCAATTGAAGTTCCCTTCAATTAAAAAATCACTAATTAGTACTCACCACGAGTTACCTCCCTTCCACAAGCTCGGGAACGAGGGCGCCACCTGAACCCATGTGCCTCACTCTCTCCTTCTTCGCCCAGTGAGCTGGACGTGAGAGCGCCTGTGTCTCCCAACACACTATATCCTTTATCTATATTTAGTTTAGTACCTCTTATATTCAGTTATAGAGGTGTAACTAGTATCCTTATTCAACTTGCATTGATTATTAGTCGTGTTTCTGCTGTTTTATTCACTGTTCGCCGTGTTTGTTCAGCAGTTTACGCTAATGAGAATCTGCACAGGTTGTAAACTATGTTATACCGCTACCGATCCACATTTAAAATGCCCTAGTTGCATTACTCCATGTTCTATTGTTTCTCGTTGTAAATTATGTATTAATTTACCAATTTCTGCCTTTGATAAATATTTATGTTCCGCTTTGAGACGGAAGGCAGATAAATCTCGCAAACAATCTTCAGTCATGGCTAATAGATCGAAGCTATTATACCCTGTCAACTGTTGACTGATTCACCGGCCACCGTTGGTGGCCTGCCGGAGTTTCCCTCGGGATAAGCGTGGACGAGTCCGCTATGTCCAAGAAGTTTACCTGCATCTCAAGACATTCCGCCTTCACAGTCTAAGACTAGGAAAGCGCCCATTATCATCTCAACGTGACGCTTCAACCCCCAGGTCCATAGCTTCGTCAAAGGGAAATCTACGAAAGCTACAAATAATTTTGCCTCCGATATTCTACCTGTCTCAGAATTATGTTTATATGATGATGACATTACGATTATCATTCCAGATGTACGTCATAAGAAACGTCCAGTATCTGCTACCGTCACTACAGCGCAGATCAACACGCAACCAGAGATGCCTATGCTCAGACGCCTGAGTTTATGATTGAGGGTCCCGTCACTTTCACAGAGAGGCCACCCTCAACGCCAGCGCAGACCGTCCCAGACGACCTGGTTAACCAAATTATGAGACTGATGGAGGACCGTTACGTTTTACAGGGGCCCCAGAGCCACGGGCCCCAGAGCCCAACCCATAATAAGTCATACAGGGCCCCAGAGCCCGCCCGCTTCGCCAGAGGGGCCCCAGAGCCCACAAACGCTTTTGGAAGGGCAACCCAGCCCGTGAGCGATCACTTCATAAAGGAAGTCCCAGGTCAGCCTCTGGCGAGCTAGAGCTCTCCAGTTCTGCGTAGGGACATCGCGAGAAGGAGCGCTTTCGCCGAGCCCACACCCTGTAGAACACAGAGGTCGCTTCATGAAGCAAGCCATATGTCGATTCGACACTGACTCGACACATTCGCTGCGAAGGTCGCGAAGGCTAAGTGGCTCCATATCTACCTCGCCAGAGATTTAGAAGAGCTTCGCAAGTCCCCAGCGTCTCGCCGGCATGTCTCCTCCAAGGTCTCCTTACACTAGCCACTCGCCAGTCCGCTCACCACAGTCCTCTCATAGATCTTCCTACAGATCTAGGACTCCGACATGTGACCCTACATCAGAGGAAGAAGGTATCATTTTCTCAGATGCTGAGATTAGATACTGGATGGTGAATGAGTTACAACTTGCTTCCCCATCGAAGAACGAGAATTCAACTCAGACTTACCTGATGAAGGATAATGATGTAGACAATATCACCTTACCTCCTATTGACCCGATTGCAGCGGTACCAGCTAATCTGGATACAGCCTGTTCCAAATCTTCGAAAGTCCAATCTACACATTTCCTGGTCTTCAATGCCAAGAAATTTGCTGGACACAATATGGACCCCTTTTTCAAGGCCCAGGATATTGATGACAACTTTAAATTAATCAGCGATGCCAAGTCCAGAAGTTACAAAGTAGACGATCGCAAATTCGCTCAATTCTACAGAGGAGGAAGATAGAATGATCTACTCAGCTCTACTCATGCAGAAAAGAGACCACCATTTTCTTACAGAGCACCTGTCAGCGCTTACTGAAACTACTACCATGGCTCGTCGGCAAGGCTTACTAGCCTCCTGCTCTTGGGATAAGCAATTTACAGAATCTCTATACACAGCTCCATGGTCATCGCCCTTACTGTTTGGTGGCAACATAGACAAGGTCTCCAAAGAAGTATCTAAAGACTCGAGAGAGGTACTTTTGATCAGATCCATGGATACCTTAGCGAACGTCATTAAACAGTCAACACAGAGATACTCGGGCAAGTCTAAGTTTTCGGGGCTACAGAAAGCACGGGACAAGAAATTAGCTGCAGCTAAAGATCCCAAGGATTCTTTTCGTCGCCGATACAACAAATTTAGGGGAGGATCAGCTAGAGGCAGATCATCCAGAAGTGCCCGTGGATTTAGACGATGAAATTCAGGTTCGGAACGACTGGAGTCTTCCACCCTAAGCCGTTCCAGTACAACCGTCTCAAGTGGGTGGACGCCTTCAGCTACACTGGGAAAACTGGGAAATACTACAAGATCCATATGATTCAACCGGCACAACTACCTATGTTAAGAGAAACAGTACTTACTCTACTAAACAAACAGGCCTTAGAAGTTCTGGATCAACAAAACATCGTACCAGGTTTCTACTCCCCAGTTTTCCTAGTGCCGAAGAAAAATTCCAAGGAGAAGTTTCGTCTCATATACAACATGAGCATCTTCAACAGAGAATATCTATGCAAACCACCAACGTTTCGCATGATACACTTACTGCAACTTCGGCATTTAATTCGTCCCAAAGATTACATGGCCAGCATAGATTTGCAAGACGCATATCTACACATTCCAATTCATCCCAACTCAAGGAAATATCTAAGATTTATCCTAGACGGGAAACATTACCAATGGAAGGTTCTTCCCTTCGGAATCACATCGGCCCCTTGGGTATTCACAAGAGTGACCAAGCCTATTGTCTCATACCTACATCGTCAAGGTCTTATGCAGCGCTTTTACCTAGACGACGGTATACAAGTGGATCCAGATCCACAGCGTCTCTCAGACTACAGCTGAACTTTATAATCAAGCTACTAACACAATTAGGGATGGTTAGTAAATCTACTCAAGTCGGACCTAGAACCAACGCAGGATCTGCAATTTCTAGGTATACGATTTCTAACAGCTCAGAATCGTATTGTAGTCCCGGAGGACAGATGGATCAAGATCAGATGGATCAAGATCCAACAACTTATTCCTCAAGCCCTACTCTCTCCGTTACCACTACGACAGTGGCAGAGCCTATTGGGACTACTCACATCAGCTCAAGACTTGACAGTCAGAGGCAGGCTTCAATTACGTCCGTTACAAGTCCTCATCAATGCTCATCTCGAGGACCCTCTACCATTCAGTCTACCAGATTATGTCAAACCACATCTACTCTGGTGGACCAAGAGATTGAATGTTTGCGCAGGCGTCTCCTTAGTAGAGCCGGAATCGAAAACACATCTCTACGTAGACGCGTCACTACAAGGTTGGGGAGCCCACCTTGCTGGCAGGACAGCGTCAGGCCTATGGAGCAATCAAGAGAGCAAATGTCACATAAATCTGCTAGAGATGCAAGCAGTCATAAACGCCATAAGTCACTGGAGCAACCTACTACAGAACGCTCAGTTGATGGTTCACACAGACAATTCAACAGTGGCGTTTTATGTGAACAAACAAGGTTCAACAAGGTCACAGAACCTACTGACTCGATGTTTCAGACTGTTCGATTTAATCGACAATCTAAACATACACGTCAGAGCTTGCCACATTCCAGGAGCAAAGAATGTATTAGCAGACGCTCTCTCTCGGCCACACCAACCGTCGCCGACAGAATGGATGCTCCACACAGAGATATTCAATCAAATAATCATGGAAATAGGATCTCCACTGAAAGACCTATTCGCCACTCGATTCAACAAGCAACTGACAACATTCGTGTCGCCAGTGCCAGACCCACTAGCATGGGCAACGGACGCACTAAGCATATCGTGGGAGAGACTCAACGCGTACGCTTTCCCGCCTCCAGCGTTGATCCCACAAGTCTTACAGAAAATCAGTCAAACGCAGAGCCTCCATCTGATTTTGGTCACGCCCTACTGGCCAGCGAGAACTTGGTTTCCAGATCTCATTCAAGTAATGGGAAAACCAATTCTTCAGCTCCCACAACGCGCCAATCTATTGATACATCCGCACACCAAACAAGTGCACGAAACACCAGAAGCATTCCAACTTCACGTATGGATTGTATCAAGGCATGTCTGAATAAGAGAGGTTATTTTGCCAGAGCGGCTAAAGCGGTCACGCTTGCACTACGTAACTCAACTCGTAACTTATACTGATGACAAATGGCACAGTTTTGTCAATTACGCTGCTAAGAAAGGATTTACAGCCAGATATGCTACACATCCTCAAGTGGCAGATTTCTTATGTTATCTACGGCAAACTAAGAATCTAAAAGGCTCAACCTTGTCCACTTATCTTGCAGCTATAAGTTCTGTCATAACTATGCGAACGGGCGTCAAGTTAACAAAAACACCAGAGTTACTCGCTTTGTTACGAGCGTTCCGATTGGAGGATCAGAAACGGAAGTTTCACGCTCCAGCCTGGGATCTAAATATAGTGCTCCAACACCTCACTAGTGAGGCTTATGAACCATTGCTATCTACATCGTTTGAATCACTGACCCACAAAACCTTATTCCTGTTAGCACTAGCTACGGCCGCCAGGATGTCAGAGATTCATGCATTGGATTGAGAGAACACGCTTTGATGATATTCATAACATCGCTCATCTGGGACTTCGCTGGGATTTTATAGCTTAAAACCAACTGCCAGGTCAACCAGACAGATTATTCCACGTCCCAGCTCTCTCATCCATACTTGGACCGCGTGATACGATGGATCTATCACTATGCCCAGTGAGAGCACTGAAAATATATCTCCAACGATCCAAACAGAGCAGAGGGAAATTCAAGAGATTATTTATCCCAATATCTACAGCTCACGCAGACGAAGTCTCACGCATTTCTACGATCTCTATCTGGATCAGAACTGTCATACTACGTGCCTACAAGGCTGCAGGACTCGACCCTCCAAGAGCTTCTAATCCTCACTTAAATTAGAGCTGCTAGCCTCAACTCTCAGCTCTACATGGGAATTGCTCGTTGAATACCATAATGGAGGGATGTTTCTGGAGATCCGATATGGTGTTTGCCAACCACTATCTGAGAGATATCACCACCGAGGACGTCTCAGGTATCCACCATTTCGGTCCCATGGTCCTCAAGCTCAACAGTTGACAGTTCCACGGAGAAGATAAGTCTATCTTACAGATTTTATACTTATCTGATAACAGTACTAATAGCTACATGCTATCTATATATTTTGCTTAAGTTTGATTTATTATCTTAAGCTCAGTACTATGGTTTTTATATCATACTATATATAAGCTTACAACTCCTAGGAGTTTTGCTACTATATATATGTTCAGCTTAAGTTTCATCAATCCTTAAGCTCAGTCATATGGTCATATGCATAAATGTATTAGCTAACAAACTCTAAGGAGTTGGTTACTATTATACAGCTTAAGTTATAATTATATCTTAAGCACAGTACTATACTATTATAGCTTAAATATATGCATATCTTAAGCTTAATACTTTGGTTAATTTATAAAAGTATCCACTATAAACTCACAGAAGTTTATACTATCACATTAATAGCTTCAGCTTACATTAATGTTGTATATACTTTTATCATATTCAATAAATTGTAATAACCTTTATATGGCAGCTGATAAGTTAAGGGAATTCATCAGTTCAGTGCCTTTATGAAGTTCCCATAGGGTTATTACAATCATCACAGTTCAAATCACTAATTATTAAAATCCAAAGTATATATATTCCCACCTCCTTTTCCGTCGGATTCTACAAGCAATAAGCATGAGTCAGGATAAGGAAAAATATGAAATTTTTAGAGTAAAATTAATATTTTATACTTATCCTGACTCATGAGGTAAGCCCTCCCGTCCTCCCCACTTAACACTTTGGATTTCTTCGGAAAAATAAAGTGTCGAGCTCAAAACAAAAGGAGAGAGTGAGGCACATGGGTTCAGGTGGCGCCCTCGTTCCCGCGCTTGTGGAAGGGAGGTAACTCGTGGTGAGTACTAATTAGTGATTTTTTAATTGAAGGGAACTTCAATTGGGAGATACACGTGTTCCACTATGTTCGCAAGAAGAAAAAGACAAGCAATAAGCATGAGTCAGGATAAGTATAAAATATTAATTATACTCATTTAGAGTCTAAGCTAGTGTAGGTTGAACAATGATGCAGCCATTCCACCATGGGTAATCAATCCAATCACATACACAACAAACTATATAATTAAGTACAAAATTTATTCCATAGAATGTTATTAACAGTGCAGTGAAAGAATAGACAGCAAACACTGGTGATGTCATCAACAAACAAGCTTAATGATGTAATACTGTTAAAATAATAAAGGCATATACATGTACCTAATTTGCATGAATAAATGTCTTTCCAAGACAACTAGATACTGAGTAAACAAACAAGTTTCCTCTCTACATGACTTCAACAACTCCAACAGTTTTCAAATATAAATATAACAGTGAGCTGTTATTAACACCACTTTCCCTGTAAATGTATGTCCTGTAGAGATACAATATTCACCAAGGACACATTCTGAAGCTGATCCTCAACCAGTTATGAGGTGTTTCACCACAAGATAACAAACACATGTAATACTGTAAACAACCCTTTCAAAAACAGACTTTCCGGGTTCGAACAGGAAAATTGTTTAAAGGGAGTTGTGCCAGTGTTCATTAGTTTCTTCAATGACAGAGCAGGCAGCTACGTCAATTATTTTTGGTTTATCTTTACAGGAATGTTTAGTTGGCTTTTCAGAAACCACATCCATCCTTAAAGCTTTCTTTCATTCAAAACAGATGAGGTATGACAAAACATGAAATATGTCAAGAGTAGAGAAAAGTTGGGACAGAAATTGGTGATGCTGACTTAAAAATGTGTACATAGGCATGACAACCATTTTAGTCTATAGGTGTATCTTTGTAATGAATTGATCTCCGTCATTCACATGTTTACCTATATATGTATTACGCATCTCCATTCATGCATTATTATTATCATCATAATTATTATTATCCATTATTTCCAAATATACAGAGTTAGGAATGTATAGTATCTTGAAATTTTGTACAAGGAATGACCATTAGGAATGTAATATGTAAAGAAATTTAATATTAGGAATGTATGGTATAGTGTAGTATACGTTTACCCTGAAGGTCATTGAAGATATAATCACCAAGGTCGTTGTAGAGTCGCACTGTTATCTCATAATACTGGTGGTAAGATTATATAGCATCAATGGTCATGAAGTTGTTCTGATATAAGGCATAGATACAACAATCTGGGCCGTACTGATACACTTCATGTGATAACACTGTTCAATAATCAATGTCGACTGAGTGAGTGAGCAGAGTTTTATGCCATTTTATCCAATATTTCAGTGTCATAGCAGGGACACCAGCGGTGGACTACAAGCACTGCCCATATGGGGAGTAGAACCCGGGCCTCCAATGTGGTAAGTGAATGTTTTGATTACACAATGCCATTTTAGAAAGTGGTCAAATGTAACATATGTTATATTTGGGATTACACTTTCTTAGTAAAGTACAAATTCTAGTACGTTTTTTTCCCCGTTGGGTTGAGTCCCATCTGGGAGTCGTGGTGGCTGAGCGGGTTAGGCGGCTGACTACAAACCTGAATAGTGATAACATAGACATCCTACAAAGTCTGAACTCGTAGACTCTGATTCATCTCACTCTGTCTTTGTTTATTTAAACAACAATTGGTACAAAAGCTTGTCAGTCTACTGTTAAACTGTCAGTGTTGAATATTTCATGGCTCAAAACATGAAAGTAAACAGACTCCTGACAACTCTCCTCTGTACCAACTCACAAACATGAATCAACTGAAAAGCATAATTTCAAGAGGATTTCAACAGCTACACAAGTTTAAAGGATGATTAAATTATTGATATGATGTTTGGTCTTTCAGTTAACTCCTTAACATCATACACAACACTGTGAATTATTGACATAACACTTATGTGGTAAACAGTCCGCTGCTAATGATCACTGAATAATTGATCACAACACTTAGCACTCCATTCATAGAACTAACAACCTGTGATGGATCCGGGATACTGTTTCCCTGAAGACCGACAGGGATGGGAAGATGGATGATCTGTCTCACTACCAGCTGACAAACAAGTGTAAACAAACGATGTAACCAAGCGACGTCTTCCAATGCAGTGGGTAAAAATTATAAAAATGTGGATATAACAGAATGACTTCCTGTGATGCAGTAAACATTATGTTATACACGCATGGATATAACAGAATGACTTCCTGTGATGCGGTAATAATTATGTTATACACGCATGGATATAACAAAATGACTTCCTGTGATGCGGTAATAATTGTTATACACGCATGGATATAACAGAATGACTTCCTGTGATGTAATAATTATGTTATACACGCATGGATATAACAGAATCACTTCCTGTGATGCGGTAATAATTATGTTATACACACATTGGTATAACAGAATGACTTCCTGTGATGCGGTAATAATTATGTTATACACACATGGATATAACAGAATGACTTCCTGTGATACGGTAATAATTATGTTATACACGCATGGATATAACAGAATGATTTCCTGTGATACGGTAATAATTATGTTATACACACATGGATATAACAGAATGACTGACTGACTGAGTTTAGTTTTACGCCGCTTTTAGCAATATTCCAGCAATATCACGGCGGGGGACACCAGAAATGGGCTTCACACATTGTGCCCATGTGGGGAATCGAACCCGGGTCTTCGGCGTGATATAACAGAATGACTTCCTGTGATGCGTTAATAAATATGTTATACACATATGGATATAACAGAATGACTTCCTCTGATGCGGTCAATACAAGTTATACACATGGATAAAACACATTATTCAACATCTTAAATCATCAGGAATATTTGTAATATTTTGAAATAAATACGTTTTCCTTTAAACATGATGATAGAACATTAAAAAACAATTCCCGGCCCCAAATAACTACAACAATGAGCATATAGTCCAACATACATTTTCTTCTATCACAATTGTTAAACATTCTTATAGATAATTCTTATATGCATAACTATGGTAGATGAAATCAAAGGAAAGATGTACTTAGTTATGCTTTATGCCAGTCTTTTGGCCACTAAGAAGAAAGTGCTTAGTATTATACATCTATAAGGCACACAAGAGTGTAAATATAAACACGTCCGACTGTTATATTGTTCTAGATACTGGTAGCCTATTTTCAGAGCAGGAATAATTAATTACATACAACTGATTTGTCTTGGCAATAAGAAATATTTCTCAACATATACGTGCCTCTTTATTATAGATAACAATATAAATAACTTCACACCACTAAGAAACAATTGCTAGTTCACCTTTAGTCAGACCACACCTCCCAATCTGATGTACTTGTGGTAACACTTGAATAAGTATATAATTCAAGCACAGAAGTAGCAAGGGTACAGAAATGAGCAATAATGACTAACATCGTTCTGTAACTAGATCTTAGTTTGAGCAAATAACATATATATCTAAGGCTGAATAAGACAACAGTTTCATGGGCATGTTGTCATGAAACAGGTGAGGGAGCAAGTAGCAATTTTTTTAGAATTATTTCAAAGAACAAAAGCAACAAGGTATGTACCCCGGTAAACATTTTATTTGAAATTGAAAAATTGAACTTTGGCGTTTGGTTGAGACGACCAAAAGTGAATGACTGCAGCAGGATCTGAACAGACGACCAATCGAAACACGGGATGTATGATGTGGGAAGGAACTCAAATGTTTGTAAACAGAACCTGCCAGAGTGTAGGCATTAAGACTCGCCTCTGCCTTGGAAACAGTTCCTTTCTTCAGAGTCAACTGTACACAGCCAGTTTCATGTTGCTACGTCCATTACTTGCTAGTCACTAGGATATTAACATTATGTGTTTTCAGTCTTGTTACAGAGTTTTTGCTCTGAAAATACATCTGGAATGAATGGCATCACTAGTGTGGTGTCCATTTTGAATTTTTTTTCATACTTTTCAAATTCTGGAATGCCGAAAAAAAGACGTGTACCAAGAAAAGAATCCACATGCTGTGTAAAGTCCCAACGATCTCTGAGATCAAATTGATGTTTTTCAATCAATCAGATTGCTGCATACATTCCCATTCATTTTCAAATGGTCATTCACATGAAACTTTAGCTCATATTATGCATGCTCCTTTGCGACACTGAGTTACATACACAGTCATCTCATCATCATCATCAACACGCAGCATCACCATCATCAACACGCAGCATCACCATCGCAGGTGGGGATGCCACATTATTTAACAAGGCAAACAATAAACAAATATTTTGTCATTCTCAACGAGTAGAATATAACAATTATCACAGATCAAAAGAAACAATAACAGACACACAACTCAAAACAAGTCCTTGCTACCCACGCGGACAGGTGAAGTAGGACCATCACAGATACCCATCAAGTCTAACATCCCAACGGAAGGAACATTAACCAATTCTGTCAATATCGTGGGAAAATAAAAGCAAATTATGATGCTTATGATAAGAAAGGATTTTCAGTCAAAGCAATATGACCACTGTCCCTAATTCTCAACTTCTAATTATGAAATAACACATGTACATGAGAAATCATACATCTTCCATAATACCTATTTCACCTGTATGTTGAAAAATACTATAAATGCCTTTTCATGTAAACATAAGACTGACAGCCGAATGTATCTCTGAAAATGTGCAATCTACAACAAACATTTTCTCAGTGGCAGATTGGGGCAGAATGTCAGCAATAAGCACTGATTGGGTTATAATGAGGAGAACATCATTATACAGTGTCTGCTGATCACAACTTGTGCAGCGGTCATCCAGTCCACTGAATTAAACCCCACACCCATCAGACTGAGCTAGCCAGTTTACACAACTCGAAAACACAAAAAGATGAAACATTTCAAATTCTGAGAACAAAATCACCATTAACATGATTAATTCTAATCCAAATATCAAAAAATGAAAATGAAATGTATACAAACCTTTTGCCAATAATCTGACGAAAACTTTACACAAGTGCTCACTTAGGGCTCACAGACAGAAAGATGTGGCCCTAACTGTGGTTATCATATTCTCATCACTGATCAGTAACAGTATTTACATATCTAACTTTTTCATGCTTTAACAGTTTGTTTATCTTCATCTTCAGGCTCTTCGTCCTTCTTTTCCGTTTCCTCTTCTGTCTTTCCTCCCTTTTTAGAATCTTTTGTTTCTTTCTTTGCTTCTTTTCTGTTGTTGGAGTCTTTCTTGCTTTTTGTGTTCTTAGTTTTGTCTTTATCATTATCGCTATTGGTCTTCACCGTGTCTTCATCTTCCTCCTGTGGGGAGTCACTCTTCACCGACGCGTTGTCCTTTTGACGCTGCTTCCTCTGCGACACAGCGCAACTTCTCCGACTGTTCTTCTGAAAGGTGAAAACATTTTGATGTTTTACATTAAGTACAGGAGTTGTATTTGTCATTCTGCTAAGATTGTGTTTGTGAAACATAGATTGGTCACCCAACAAAATCCCCTGCTGTGAGGTACAGTTCCCCTGCAGTCAAATACTTCAGGTGGCCCAGATGTCAGTCAGGCTACACCGACTCAACCTCTTGATTCATCTTGCCTTACCTAAAAGGTCTTAACAGCCCCCAAATTCGGGTGACCCACACACAAGACTCACCTTGTATCCTCTTGATAACTCCCATATCTCACCATGTATTCTTTACCCCATGAGATATTTCACCCCAATATTTCACCCTGTTTCTCTGGTCCCCATGAAATAACTCCCATATCTCACCCTGTTTCTCTGGTCCCCATGAAATAACTCCCATATCTCACCTTGTACTCTCTTTCCTATAAGATAACTCCCATATGTCACCCTGTTTCTCTGGTCCCCATGAAATAACTCCCATATCTCACCTTGTACTCTCTTTCCTATAAGATAACTCCCATATGTCACCCTGTTTCTCTGGTCCCCATGAAATAACTCCCATATCTCTCCTTGTACTCTGTTCCCTATATGATAAATCTCATATCTCACTCTGTTTCTCTACCCCCATGAGATAACTCCCATATCTCTCCTTGTACTCTGTTCCCTGTATGATGAATCTCATATCTCACCATGTTTTTCCGTTAACCATGAGATAACATCTATATCTCACCTTGTCCGTGTCCTTATCGTTCACCCACCAGTCCTGTGGGAAGCGGGAGATACTGTCCATGAACTTCTGGTTAGCCTTCCAGTCCCGCTGCAGTTGATCGGCGCTATACTCGGCCCCGCGGTTTGTGATACGCCGCAGTATCGACTGGTTTTCCTCAGTCACGCGCAGCAGTTCTCGCTGACGCTTCTCTCGATTCAAACTGAAAACAAACAATTTAACGTTAAATGTGAGTAACAGGGGTACTTTCACTATAGCAACAAAGTTACAATCTATGGGAATATTATGTAATGAGAACAATGTATATTTCCTGATATTATTCAACATCATAAAAAGCTTGAAAGCAAGGGCATGTAAGTCCTGAAACAATACAGTTGCGTGGTCATCATCACTGTAATTATCTAAACAGGACATATTGATCTTACGAGAAGTATCAGCTGCAACAAACGCCTCTATCACAAAACAGCTAATGCTATCGATGCAATAAACCCATCTGGTAAACTTGGTATTAAAAAAATATGCAAATGAGGCTGCCCAGTGGGAACTGCTGTCAATACATGTCATGTTGACTTTCTCACTAGTAGTCAAAAAACTGTTGACTAGCACCAAACATGGGTCAAACATGGCTGATAGTTATTGAGGAAAAATACATGTACAAATAAACGGGGTTCCAACATTGTATTCAAGTGCAGTCTTTCCAAAGCTTATAACTTCATTGAGTGAAAGGACGTCTGAAACATCTAATATTTTAGGAATGACATCATATGTTATCCCACGAAAACATCCCAAAATCGGGTCTGAGTGTTGTCGAATGTTGGCATGTTGCAGTTGGTATGCCAATATTAGGCCAACATTGTGCCAACATTGTAAATAAATTTCGATACTCTTAAAATGTATATCTACATTATTGTTATTATAATTACCATTATTTCTTCATAATACTTTCAGTAAATTATGAAAGGCCCAAACTTTGTTTGACGAAGGGCATGAACACTCTATGCATATCATATATATATTTGCCACTATTTCTTTATTCTGCATATTCTTTGCAGTGTTTTATGCAGCAAAGTTTGCGTGTGATTGGTAGACAATAATTTTGTTAGTGACTTTTGGAATTTATTCTGAGCAAATTAGTAGGTTATTTCTGATCACCTGCTTTGAAGTATTGTTAAATGTATTACCAACTGATTGGAGTTCTCCCAAATATATAAATCAAGATCTAAGCAACAGCAGCAAAAAAGAAACAGATTTTAACACAAATAACATTCAGATTGGTAAAATAATGAAATCAAATACATAGGACCTGATCAACCTTTGTAGTTAACAGTGGCATAATGTTTGTACAATTTGACAACATGCTGACAATATCGTACCAAAAAGATGTATTTATGCCTTTGATGAAAATGTTGTACAAAAAGTATGCTGAACCAAAATCATCTACATTGGACCGACATTAAGCATGAAATTGGGCCAGACATTGATCCAGTGCGATTGTGTTTGCTAGGAAAGAGTCTAGTACCCAATTGTGTCTGTATCAATCAATCTATACTCAAGTACTTCCGAGGCCACAGCCCTGTAATTATAATCCCTGTGTTGTACAGAACTTTCACCATTATTTACAAATGTGGTTCTATATCACAAAGAGTGATGTATTATATACATCGATACATGTTGTGTTGTGGACAGACCTAAACTGTTTAAAAGATGATGAAACATCACAACATATGGATCATGTAAGTTAAATATTGAAATATATTTTTTCCTCACAGTGGAGTATATTTTACATAGAAGCAACAAGTGAAATTCATCCTTGATGGCTTAGATATTGCATGTTTTACACATTTATTTTCTTGGATAGAGTTCAACAAAATTGACAAGTCAATATCTTTCAGTCTGGAGGCAGTTTCATTCCTAATGTGTGAGTCGTATATGGCAACAGACTGGGCTAATAATATCTACGTATTACAGGTACTTGAGGATGATTTGCATTGATCACAGAAGAAAATCAATGGGACGTGTGGTTCGGTGCAAGCATCCAGCTGATGTCATCAAAACATGTGTATCATGTCACAAAATACAATGGATGTTGGTCGCCATGGTGACAGGCACGCTTCTGACATGTCTGTCACATACAGTATATGTACACATATGTAGGAACCACAGCAAACATTGCAGTTTTTTGTACTCAGTGTACAACATCAACAAAAATGAAGTGCACATAAATAATGCACCTGACTCAAACTTTAGAGTGTTAAAAGTACTAAAGCACTATTTATGTACCGGGCAAACCAATGTTTCTTAGACCCCATTGTTTGTGTTACTTGCATAATGTTCTGTAGTCATACTGTCAATAGCGAATACCCAAGCCACTTTGACTATAAAAATTAATGAATGCAAATGTTTCTGTTGTGCCAGTTTCATCAGTAAGTACCCTGCGAAGAATGAGCTGGGAATTCACTGGGGTGTAGGGCAGTCAGAAATATTGACAGTGGGAAGAATCTTATTATTAACGATTATCGATATGAAAATTGTTACTGAGCTTTGATAACATTGTACATGAACCTTTTTGATGAAATATAGTTTTATTCTCCTCACACAATACACAAGGTTATTGATGAAATATAGTTTTATTCTCCTCACACAATACACAAGGTTATGTCGTTATTCACGTCTGCTTCTGACCTATGTTCAGGATGCTGCTTTATTAGTTATCCATGAATAAATATGTCAGTACTCAACAGTGATGTAAAACATGTTGATTTCTTTCAGACCTTTTGGCATTTTTATTTCTCCGATATTGATCTGTAATGGATTGATATTTATTCAACGATTATCAATCTCTGTGATCTAAATCAATAGCCAGCCCTACTTGGGTGACAATTAAAAACTTCAGCCACTAGCCCAACACCCACACGAGGATGAGTTATACTGAGGACAATCCTGATGGGAGTCAAACCTAGACCCTAGCCCAACACCCACACGAGGATGAGTTATACTGAGGACAATCCTGATGGGAGTCAAACCTAGACCCTAGCCCAACACACACACGAGGATGAGATATACTGAGGACAATCCTGATGGGAGTCAAACCTAGACCCTAGCCCAACACACACACGAGGATGAGATATACTGAGGACAATCCTGATGGGAGTCAAACCCAGACCCTACCCCAACACACACGAGGATGAGATATACTGAAGACAATCCTGATGGGAGTCAAACCCAGACCCTAGCCCAACACACAGGAGGATGAGATATACTGAGGACAATCCTGATGGGAGTCAAACCCAGACCCTAGCCCAACACACACACACGAGGAGGAGACAGAATGAGGACAATCCTGATGGGCGTCAAACCCAGACCCTAGCCCAACACCCACACGAGGAGGAGACAGATTGAGGACAATCCCAATGGAAGTCAAACCCAGACCCTAGCCCATCACCCACACGAGGAGGAGACAGATTGAGGACAATCCCGATGGGAGTCAAACCCAGACCCTAGCCCAACACCCACACGAGGAGGAGACAGACTGAGGACAATCCCGATGGGAGTCAAACCCAGACCCTAGCCCAACACACACACACGAGGGAGGGAGACAGAATGACAATCCCGATGGGAGTCAAACCCAGACCCTAGCCCATCACCCACACGAGGAGGAGACAGAATGAGGACAATCCCGATGGGAGTCAAACCCAGACCCTAGCCCAACACCACACACGAGGAGGAGACAGACTGAGGACAATCCCGATGGGAGTCAAACCCAGACCCTAGCCCAACACCCACACGAGGAGGATGAGACAGAATGAGGACAATCCTGATGGGAGTCAAACCTAGACCCTAGCCCAACACCCACACACTGAGGAGGAGACAGACTGAGGACAATCCCGATGGGAGTCAAACCCAGACCCTAGCCCATCACCCACACGAGGAGGAGACAGAATGAGGACAATCCCGATGGGAGTCAAACCCAGACCCTAGCCCAACACCCACACTAGGAGGAGACAGAATGAGGACAATCCTGATGGGAGTCAAACTCAGACCCTAGCCCAACACCCACACGAGGAGGATGAGACAGAATGAGGACAATCCTGATGGGAGTCCAACCCAGACCCATGGTGCAGCAGTACATACCTCCTGTACTCGTAGTTGTTCCTGTTGTCCACTCGTCCTCTTGTCCTCATGATGTACGACATCTTCTCCAGGAGAATACGGTTGTCTCTCTCGATGGTAGCCAGCCTCTCTTCCTCAAGCTGTGAATATAAATACCACCATGATTCAGTGGGGTATAAAGCAGATATGCAGTAAAAATGTGAAATCAAATGATTTATAAAGCAAAGACAAAGATTTTTTTCTAATTCAACATTTGTACCAAAAAATGATAAAAAAACTACTTGTGTTTCATACATGTGTTTATATTGTCATTATGAGTATATGAATGCTCTAACCTACACCACATAACCAACACATTGAATGATGCAGTGAGATAATCATGTGAGCCACGTCTATTGATTGTGTCAGTACTTCAAGCACTACAGTGGTTCTAAATTGGTTACTCAGTGTTAATCATGGAAAGTAGTATTGCTGGCACAACAAACTGATGGACTGGTATATTCTGGACATAAACTCTGTCAAAAAAGAAACGCAACCCCTGTCCTCAGATATGAAAAATTCGTTTGAATGAAGTTATTGCTTCCAAACTAAATGTTATTCGAATGTATTGAAATTATACACGTAATTAATGAAGATTACCATCCAAACAACTGCATTTGTACGCATAAGTGTATTTTATTGCTTATTCCGTCACAACGCATGAAATGACCCTCATGGTGACTTCGCACAAAAAAAACACATGCAAATCATGAAAATGGCAGTTAATGTAGGGGTGTATAAAAGCCCATGTGCTTTCGGTGATTATATTCATTCATTTGTCGCGATGAAAAGCTGTGAAAAATGCCACGATTGAGTGCTGCCGACCCGAAATATCGCCATTGGTCGGTGTTCAAGCCGGAGAAAGTTTTGGAACTGTTGCACGGCACCTAAATGTTCACAAAACAACGATATCCCCGACTTTGGAGCCGCTACAACAACTTCAATTTGACCAACGATGCCCGAGAAGTGGAAGGCCAAGAATCACGACCCTTCAAGATCGGTACATCCGGTCCATCACCTGCGTAATCGGCATGCCCTACCAACCGTGACTGCCACACAAATACCAGGTTTGAGGAGAGTGTCAGCTCAAGCGATTAGGAACCGTCTCTGAAAGAAGCGGGTTTACGTGCCTGTAGACCAGTTGTTGGGACCTGTACTACTCTCTACATCTCCGCCCGGCGACTCAGGTGGTGCAACAACGTAAGGATATGGACTTTACAAAACTGGAGGCGATCTGGTTTTCTGATGAATCCGTTTTCTTTTTCGCAACATCACGACTGAAGAAAACGTGTGTATAGGAGACGTCATGAACGTTTTTGCCCATCTGGCGTCCGACAGGGGGACAGATTTTGGTGAAAGCGTTATGGTTTGGGGATCCATCTCATACAACCAGAAATCAGACTTGGTGATCGTTGAAGGGAACCTGACAGCCCAACGTACATCAAATCCACGATTACAGCCTCACCTTCTCCGATTATTGACCAACAGACACAGATCTTTCAACCAGACAACGCCCGCCTCATACTGCACGTGCAACAATGAACTTTCTGCAGAATTCCAACCTCAATGTCTTGCCATAGCCCTCTAAATCACCAGACCTCAACCCTATTGAACACCTGTGGGATACTCTGGAGTTGACTAGCACGCCAACGTCAGCCGCGCCACAGACGCTGCAACAGCTTCGGGCGTTGCACTGCAGGAGGAGTGGAGAGCCATTCCCCAGGAAAGAATCCGGCGTCTTATCCGTTCTTGTCCAAGGAGATGCCGTGCAGTGATTGCAGCTCGTGGTGCTCATACGAGATACTGAGAAAGACGCCCCCCTGGTGACAAACTGGTGTCTGTGAGATGACTTTTGAAATGACAATTTTAAACATGCCCATCTTGGTTATTATTCTGCCAAATTTCAGACTTCTGTCTTAAATAATAAACATGCTGTGTCGTCTTAAAACTTCAGATCAAAATCTCTAAAATACAGGGGTTGCGTTTCTTTTTTGACAGAGTTTATTTACTTTGAAATCCATGAACTATTTACTTGACTTAATGATGATTATGAAGTCATTGCTCATCATTTCATTTCTTGGAAAATATAAACATAAATCACTTTTAAGATGTAGAATGATTGAAAACAATAGAAGTATGACAGTAATAGAACTTTCTTTTCATTGTTTAATGTAACTAGATGTGTTGTGTAATAATATAATGATTAAATGGAAGCCTAGTTGCACAATGAAACATGATGTAGTGCATTTGTGGTGTTTAAATGGGATGAAATAATATCATTAGGAAAAATGAGACGAAAATCTGAAAGCTTATGTAAAGTGGCTATATTGTTGATGGTTGTCACCCAAGTAGTGTTAGGAATTCAGTTTGAAACTTTGGGAGTGCCTTGTTGTAACCCATGTGTGCAGATTTATGGATTCAGGGGTTCCCTGGATTCTAACGATAGAAGTAATACCACCAACAACAACCCCCACCCTCCCTCTAATTCAAACACTACCAAGTCCTTCAACTATTCTACTAGTCGCAGATTAGCAGTCTCGTCAAATCCAGATATTAGGACCAGCACATCCATGTTGCTCCACTCTTCACCATCAGGACTTACGCTTAGTCTCTGAATGTATATGACTTTGGGCTGAGTAGGATGTAGGGAAAATAATAGGGTTCAGGGACTGTGAGACAGACTAATATTAGTATAGTAACTAATGATATTCCAATCAAATCCATGTAGACTTTGATAAAGGCAAATGGTTGTTCAAGGCTGTACATACATCTTGATGTGATCATTATGCCCACACAGGTCCTGTATGCGCCTGCTGTAGACTCCCCTCCCTAATGTATTCAGTACAAGAATACAACTGTCTAGAACGAACTGTTATCAAACTGCACAAACCAAAGCCATTTGGTATTCATGGTGAACACGAGTCCTGACAATGGAGAGCTTGACTCGCAGCCAAGGAACACATTTATCATTATAGGTTTGTAAGGAGTTAACCACCCTTTCCTTTCAATGGAAGTCCTGATTATATCTCATTTGTTGACAGAGATACCAGTTACAGGCAGTGTCATGGCTCAAAGGTGTATTGGTCATATACTAGGGACCGTATCAAATTTTCAGTCATACTTTCAAACATTTTAACTCATTATTCCATAATTATAATCATTACAAAAGTCAAGCACAAATGAAACAGCAAGAGTTTTGAGGATTACATTGCTAAATAATCCCTATTTGATACAATGAAATGTAACGACCTGTTTGAATTTCTAGAACTGTTGACATAACCCCTTTGCTGGTGGTGGCTTCTATTATGATTTTCTGTGAATTGGTATCATGACAGCAGAAAGTCAGCTTTCCATTAAGAATGGAGAAGTTTAAAAGAAGTCCCTTTCAATTGTTCTAGAAAAATTGTGCTTAGTTTACAATTTATTTTTAAAAAGTATGAAAGCTTGTTGACTAGGTTAATTGTTGAATTGATGATAACTTTGTTGACTGAATCACTGTGATAGTTACAACCTTTACAAAAATGTATGGTGAAACAAAAATGAAAATTCTGTTGTCACACTGAAAGTCTGATATCTCCAAAGCTAACAAAAACATTCGAAAGTAAAAAAAAAACCCAGCCAAAACCAAACTCAAAAACAGTTGTGCATGTTGATTATTATTACCAATGAGGGGTAAAAAGTCCGACATTTGCACATGCCCATATTTGTGATCCTCAATGCTGATTGGTCAGAAGAAGTCACATAATGTGACAGTACATCATTGCTAAGAATTATGTCATAACATCACATAGTGATGTCACAAATGATGAAGATTCTCTGTATGGATGACATCTTGTTTGCACTTTTCGCCTTCATCTTCCCTTTTAATTTGTAAACCCATAATACAGTATGACCTACTTGGAATTAAAGATTATCTGTCGCTGCCTTAGGCTCGAGGCTTACATTTATTTACTGAGGCCAGATAATCTGTACTTCCTCGCAGCTCATTGGTTATTCTCTAAACTTAACATGGCATGGCCTAGTAGACCTAGACTAGAATTTGGATAAGACACAGACAGCCATTTCAGTCAGTGCATTCAGGCAATGTCTCTGTTGCTATGTTGCGATGTAGTGGTATGTTGTTACCACCCAAGTGGGAGATAACGACACTGTCATTGTCTGTATACTCTCTAATCCCGGTAGTTACGAGAGATATCATCTAAACCTGATTGAAAGCAAGTCTCGCCACATTTACTTGTTAAGTCAAGTGTCATCTTCATCCTATAAAATCGAGGTTTTTGGTCATTTTTTCACGTCATGAAAATCTATTTTCTGGGCCAGTACATGTGCCTGATTGAAACAGATTATTGATTTTTCAAAGAAATCAATGTTCAGCTCATCCTGTTTTAGTGCAATACTTCGTCATGTTGTGTATCTTGTCATCCTTACAAGGAAGATCACTTTCCAGTCATGTACGTGCACTTGTGCAGTCAACAGTTAACTTTGGGGGGTGAAGTCTGTGTTAACATTGTCACCTTTAAGATATATTGCAGTTGCTTAGCAACGTGTATGTGTGTGTCTGCGCTCTTTGAGCTAAAGCTGTTCTTTCAGTGTTAGTATTGTGAGATACAATGTCACAGTTTAAGGTGTATGTAGGTGTAGTGTTGACTAAGACAAACCAAGAGACACAAGCTTGAATTAGCTGTACGAACATTGTGTATATTTATGTTTGATGTATGTAAAAAAGTTTAACCTATGCCCAGTGGTTAAAGTTTGCTCATTAAGCCAGGTACAATATGTGAAGCTGATATTGCAGGAACATTGCTAAAAGCGGCGTAAAACCCAAGTCACCCACTCACCGACTAATCTTTACTTGTGCTTACAAAACGGAACTCTGAGCACAGAGCATACCACTAGAGTTTACATCACTTGTCCCTGAATCCCTTGTAATAATCATACAGGGCGAAGGCTCAATCTGGTTTTGTTTGGTGTAGTTTTGTTCACATGTCCCAAGTCAAGTAAAGCCAGCCTGCTTTTCCAAATTTGTTCGATTGATTAAATACAATAAAAATTAAGCTGACATCAAATCAATGTTTCAAATTGCTTGATCTTGTGGTTTCTAAATTTCTTCTACTTTGAAAGTTAACTTACTGATAGATGACATGCCATACCAACAGCATTTGGTGTCAGACACTGACGAGGTTTTTCTGTTGGCAAAATACCCACAATCCATTGAAAACAATGGAAATCAGTACTTGAACCTTTGACTTAGAGTGTAACCGTGAGGTAAGTGACCCCCATTTCCTGGCGAATGACGAGTACTTGAAGCACATAGTTGTGTTAAGGCAGCTACAGTTCCCCTTAATCTCAACCCTTAAGGAGAATCCATTGTAGTCTCTTGAAAAACAACAAAGTCATATCTTATTTTGTCAGAATTTGGTACACGTGTGAGGAGACAGACATGTCAAAACAATCCCTAACATTCTGCCATTAAATTAAACATGTCAAACTTATACATCAAAACTTCCAAATTTGCAATTATTGATAAAGGTTCATGAGTGTCCTTAGGTCTTACATAAAAGTACCCAGGGGTCAGATTCTATTCATTCCAAAATATTTTCACCAACGTTTTCCAGTTGTAAACAGTAAATGAATTATAACAGCTTACCAACTTTAGTGGCAGAGTGTTATGTCATTCGATTGTCATGCCACTGTGAATCTAATGTGCTACAATTTCCCAGCAGCAATACTGCCCCTAAACGCCAGGGTGATAACTTTGTTATCCTTCCAGTACCCAGGACTTCAGATGTGGGTTGATTAGTAGATAATGTGGTGTTTTCCACATTCGTATTTTATACTCCACATTCATTATGAACAATGCAATACACATCCATCATATATTTGTAAAATGGCTTTTAAATCAAACTGCTTTTAGGCCAGACCAATTTTATTTCTTGTTTTATGGATTTTGCCCTCAGAAAGCCTAAAGGCAGGAGGGAAAAAAATAAAAAATAACATCACCTGTCAAACTAATATTCCTTCTAAATACTCAAAGTATGTTACTTTTGGCAATTTATGAAGTGCATATGGGGCAAAAAACAATCTAAAAACAAAATTTCTTGTATGTTTAAATTTTTAGCCAATGAAAACATCAGGATTTTTTTTATCGAGCAGGGAAAATTAGTTTTCATGTTTTTTTTTATTCTTAAAAAAATACGAAAGGCGGATCCGTAAAACAAGAAATAAACTTGGTCTGGCCTTTACTTGTATAAAAAGAACAGTTACTGATCTCCTATTATGATTTGCACTTTTTATCTAAACACACAATCATTTATTCCTCCCCACCATCACCACGTAATCACAGTGTACACAACAATCCACAGACTTAGCAGGTAGTCCTACTGGTAAAGGATCTTAGCCCTCAATGACTCTAGCCGTAGATGCTCTCCAGCATAAGATCTTGTGTAAATTCTAAAGGCTGTATGTATACAAGATGTCATTTTGTTGGATTCTTGTTTGTGTCTTTTATCCTGCACTGAGCAGTCTTCCAGCTTGAAACAGGCAGTCTGTAAAAACACTGCGCCAGACAATCCAATGATTCACACCATAGGCCTAGATTTACACAGCTGGGAGATAATCACGAAGTCAGTGAGCCTGACCATCAGTCACCTCTCACAATGCATACTTGCTGCTTTAAACATGCATGGGTTGCTGAAAACCAGTTTTTACCATGGGCTGCTAGGGGTGAGACAAGCATGGGGTGCTATTCTGAATTCTGGCCAGGAGCTGCTAGGGGTGAGACAAGCATTGGGAGCTTATTCTGAATTCTGGCCAGGAGCTGCTAGGGGTGAGACAAGCATGGGGTGCTTATTCTGAATTCTGGCCAGGAGCTGCTAGGGGTGAGACAAGCATTCTGAAATCTGGGTGCTTATTCTGAATTCTGGCCAGGAGCTGCTAGAATTCTGGCCAGGAGCTGAGGGTGAGACAAGCATGGGGTGCTTATTCTGAATTCTGGCCAGGAGCTGCTAGGGGTGAGACAAGCATGGGGTGCTTATTCTGATTCTGGCCAGGAGCTGCTAGGTGAGACAAGCATTGGGGAGCTTATTCTGAATTCTGGCCAGGAGCTGCTAGGGGTGAGACAAGCATGGGGTGCTTATTCTGAATTCTGGCCAGGAGCTGCTAGGGGTGAGACAAGCATGGGGTGCTTATTCTGAATTCTGGCCAGGAGCTGCTAGGGGTGAGACAAGCATGGGGTGCTTATTCTGAATTCTGGCCAGGAGCTGCTGGGGCACAGGCAAAACAAGGGTCAGTGAAGATGAATTTTAACCAGGAGCTGCTAAGGGTGAGACAATCATGGGTTGCTGAAGACCAGTTCTTATTTGAGCAAGTGCTTGGTGTCAACTCACCTGCAGCTTCTTCAGCTTCAGATGCAGGTGCATGTATGTTGGAGGAGCCTTCGTATCCACCATCGGTGCTGCATCTTTCACCTGAATCAAAATTAAATGTCAAATTCCTGCAAACAGATTCTTTATTGAGATGCTAACAAGAACTGCAGCTCAGATAATGTCTCCAGCCACCGAGTATCTGCTCACGTCATCATTGGGTATTGATTGTTTCCTTTGAGTATTCAATTATTTTAGCTTTCTTCGATCCTGTCTATTGGCTTTTTAAACTGGTTCGTGGAATTTTAGAAAGAAAACCTACTTGTTTTCTTGTTACTTCATGTGATGCCAAGCAAATTACGGGTTGTTTAACTTTACAACAATGAGACATATCCAGTGAGGTGTTGTGCATCTGTGTGCTGGTCACTGAGGAAGTGTGTGCACACTTGATGAACAAGCTTCATAATGTACAGTTGCACTGTACTGTTTAGGAATTCATACTTCTTCAAGCTTTATAATTGCCACACAAACAACTCGATATCAACTTGGTAATTGTTGTTTTGTTTTCTTGTGGAGTTTGTCTTCAGAAGAATAATGATTCAGAGACACCAGTGACTGAAACAACTTGCTGCACTCATCTGCCCGACAAGCTGTGTTGGAGTCTTGGTAGATGCCAATCTCTGAAATAGCTGCTAGGGGTGAGACAAGCATGGGGTGCTTATTCTGAATTCCTGGCCAGGAGCTGCTAGGGAGTGAGACAAGCATGGGGTGCTTATTCTGAATTCTGGCCAGGAGCTGCTAGGGGTGAGACAAGCATTGGGGTGCTTATTCTGAATTCTGGCCAGGAGCTGCTAGGGGTGAGACAAGCATGGGGTGCTTATTCTGAATTCTGGCCAGGAGCTGCTAGGGGTGAGACAAGCATGGGGTGCTTATTCTGAATTCTGGCCAGGAGCTGCTAGGGGTGAGACAAGCATGGGGTGCTTATTCTGAATTCTGGCCTAGGGGTGAGCTGCTTATTCTGGGGTGAGGAGCTGCTAGGGTGAGACAAGCATGGGGTGCTTATTCTGAATTCTGGCCAGGAGCTGCTAGGGGTGAGACAAGCATGGGGTGCTTATTCTGAATTCTGGCCAGGAGCTGCTGGGGCACAGGCAAAACAAGGGTCAGTGAAGATGAATTTTAACCAGGAGCTGCTAAGGGTGAGACAATCATGGGTTGCTGAAGACCAGTTCTTATTTGAGCAAGTGCTTGGTGTCAACTCACCTGCAGCTTCTTCAGCTTCAGATGCAGGTGCATGTATGTTGGAGGAGCCTTCGTATCCACCATCGGTGCTGCATCTTTCACCTGAATCAAAATTAAATGTCAAATTCCTGCAAACAGATTCTTTATTGAGATGCTAACAAGAACTGCAGCTCCAGATAATGTCTCCAGCCACCGAGTATCTGCTCACGTCATCATTGGGTATTGATTGTTTCCTTTGAGTATTCAATTATTTTAGCTTTCTTCGATCCTGTCTATTGGCTTTTTTAAACTGGTTCGTGGAATTTTAGAAAGAAAACCTACTTGTTTTTCTTGTTACTTCATGTGATGCCAAGCAAATTACGGGTTGTTTAACTTTACAACAATGAGACATATCCAGTGAGGTGTTGTGCATCTGTGTGCTGGTCACTGAGGAAGTGTGTGCACACTTGATGAACAAGCTTCATAATGTACAGTTGCACTGTACTGTTTAGGAATTCATACTTCTTCAAGCTTTATAATTGCCACACAAACAACTCGATATCAACTTGGTAATTGTTGTTTTGTTTTCTTGTGGAGTTTGTCTTCAGAAGAATAATGATTCAGAGACACCAGTGACTGAAACAACTTGCTGCACTCATCTGCCCGACAAGCTGTGTTGGAGTCTTGGTAGATGCCAATCTCTGAAATACTGAATCCCAATGGAAAGGCTGTTCTTGTTGTTTGTGACGAATTATTGACAAGTGTTTAAAGTCAAACATCCCACAAACTAGTACCATATATCCGGGGGGAACAATAGTTATTATTAATTATAAATAAAACAAGGGTTCTGACATAATAATTTCTGATATTGTACTGTTGAAAGTAATCTGATGTAATATATTGTTATACCATGATGGTTCTAGCATATTGTACAGAGGTTTTACAGTCAGAAATCTTAAATTGTTTATTGTACATGTATTTAGATGAGTTACTTATTTGAAAACAATAACTACTGCCTCATCCATGAAACTCGCACGAAAATACTTTGGGAATGTTTAACAAAACTGTTGAATCAAATACCTAGGAATGAGTCGTGTAAAACCCTATAGATGGTTGACGGATTTGAAACTAGACTGATACTAAAATCTCCACTGAGAGCTGAACCGACTTTAACCAGATGAACCACAGCTAAACTAGCTTTCATGTATGTTTGAGTCAATCAAAGGTTATCTGACTTTCTTATCTGTAAGTAACTGTTCAGAGAGAAGTGTTCTCTTTGTCTTACGACCTCAAATCTTCTGAAGTCACAGATTTGCTTGTTGACATTAGAGGTTATTTCTTCAGAGGCCTATTCAAGCATTTACGACATTACAACTTTGTTCTCCAGTTGTTTTAGATTATAGAGATGGAAAAAACAATGTATGTTCTTAAGTTATACTAAAGGAACATAATGCCTGTGTTTCAGGTAGCAAGCCTTTATAGACTAGCGATGTTTCAGGTAGCAAGCCTTTATAGACTAACGATGTTTCAGGTAGAAAGCCTTTATAGACTAGTGATGTTTCAGGTAGAAAGCCTTTATAGACTAGTGATGTTTCAGGTAGAAAGCCTTTATAGACTAGCGATGTTTCAGGTAGAAAGCCTTAATAGACTAGTGATGTTTCAGGTAGAAAGCCTTTATAGACTAGCGATGTTTCAGGTAGCAAGCCTTTATAGACTAACGATGTTTCAGGTAGCAAGCCTTTATAGACTAGTGATGTTTCAGGTAGCAAGCCTTTATAGACTAGTGATGTTTTAGGTAGCAAGCCTTTATAGACTAGTGATGTTTTAGGTAGCAAGCCTTTATAGACTAGTGATGTTTCAGGTAGAAAGCCTTAATAGACTAGTGATGTTTCAGGTAGAAAGCCTTTATAGACTAGTGATGTTTCAGGTAGCAAGCCTTTATAGACTAGTGATGTTTCAGGTAGAAAGCCTTTATAGACTAGCGATGTTTCAGGTAGCAAGCCTTTATAGACTAGTGATGTTTCAGGTAGAAAGCCTTTATAGACTAGTGATGTTTCAGGTAGAAAGCCTTTATAGACTAGTGATGTTTCAGGTAGAAAGCCTTTATAGACTAACGATGTTTCAGGTAGCAAGCCTTTATAGACTAGCGATGTTTCAGGTAGCAAGCCTTTATAGACTAACGATGTTTCAGGTAGCAAGCCTTTATAGACTAGTGATGTTTCAGGTAGCAAGCCTTTATAGACTAGTGATGTTTTAGGTAGCAAGCCTTTATAGACTAGTGATGTTTCAGGTAGCAAGCCTTTATAGACTAACGATGTTTCAGGTAGCAAGCCTTTATAGACTAACGATGTTTCAGATAGCAAGCCTTTATAGACTAACGATGAAGTCAGTGAAAGACAAACATCAATATACAAGATCTGCTGAGAAACCCTTCATGTTCTGTAAAACAATTACCAAAAAGTATCATGACTGACTGACTGAGTTTAGTTTTACACCGCTTTTAGCAATATTCCAGCAATATCACGGCGGGGGACACCAGAAATGGGCTTCACTCATTGTACCCACGTGGGGATTCGAACCCGGGTTTTCTTCGTGACGAGCCAACGCTTTAACCACTAGACTTCCCCACCGCCCCAAAAGTATCATGAACAAGTCTTAAAACTTTGTGAGAAAATCAAATGCCTTTTTCACTGCCCTGAATAAAACATTTTCAGATTTAGGGGTCCTTAAGTTTAAACACTATGGAAGCAAACCTCAACAACTGGAGGGCCTTCCTTAATTTCAGAAACATTACTCTCATGATTACTTTCCATAGTTTCTCATTAACAATGACAGTGAAGTATTTTCTGGTTTCATTCACTTTCTAACTACAAACCTTGTGAAAAAAAGAAACATAAAAAACAACCCTGATAATTGTTTTCGATATAGAAATCTGACTAACCACCAATGACAAGATAAATAAATATTGGTTGTTGGGACGTGGTTTCCGTTCACATTGATTTGTATAGATAGCAAGACCAGATGACAATCTTTCTGTGTTCACTATCAGGATCATAAATGTGTATCATATCATCACGGTTTGGGATATAGACAGAAAAGACAGATTATTGTTCACATGCATTAGGGATACAGATCAGATATAAAAGAGTCAATTACAGACAGACATAAACCAAGTGAGGGTCTTAATGTGGGGGTCACAAGTCAGGGAATAATCAAACATACTGAATACTAAAATACTAAATACTAATGTGTGCAGAGTTGGAATCTGGATAACAAAACATTATATTTGAGAAAATCATTTCTTACCAATGCTGAAAATATTAAAAACATTTAGGCAGGGCCAATTCCCAGATGGATGGATCATAACAAGAAACAAGGATGTATTTGAACAGGCCTTAGTACACAACACATTGTTACACACTTAAACATTTGTGTATACCACAACACTGTATTGACTCCTGGCAGTACTCTGTCACACAATATAACACTGAACACAAGATTACATATGTTCATATGACAGTTATACCACCTCTATAAATCCCAATATGACTTATCAATAAACATTACTATATAAACATTTCACAACTACAAACATTCTCACATAATAAATCAAATATTGATTTATGAATATCTAACAAAACAGTTCATCACATTTACAAAGCGTTCATGTTCTCGAAAAAGGTAATAAATTCTCTTCCCACTTAATTCTCTAAAGCCCAGTAGCTGTAAATCTGTGTATTGTAAACAGTTATCGTTTAACGAGTGGTAGCCAAGATTGTTCACCCACCTTCCGTCTGTGCTCATTGTAGTATGTGGAGTCCCACCGCTGTTGTAATAACTTGTTGGACGTGGGTAATATGGATGTGTATGACCTGTGCATCCTGGCGAGTTCTCGATGTTACAATATTCTGATCTACAGACAGAGGCTACACTGTTCCGCTTCTCAACACACGTTCCGAACAAGTGCCATATATCCGCTACTGGCGAGGTTGCTGGTCACGTGATCAAACCTTGTCGCCCTAGCAACACCGACCGGAAGTACACAAATGGCGCGGGCACCTGCCGTCAAGATAATAGTTTTATTAACTAGAAAAATTGGGTACAATAAACTCGGCCTCCACTTGATAACAAAGCAAACTTTCGGAGTGGGAGATCGATTTACAGCAAATAAAATAGGTTCTGCTCTCTGGGGCTGAACTAATGTTCATTGTAATTTACCTCTGCATGGGTCTCGAGACGTTTAGCGCCCTGTGTCGCAGTTCGCCTGTGAGAAGGCAACCAGAGACTGTAGGGCAGTGCATTCGATAGATATACGTTATCATCTTAATAGATCGGATTAACAATATATAGTCGTACCTTGTAACATGCGATTATTCTACATACGCTAATCAATGACAACAAAAGGACTTATGAGGGAACGTACGAAATTCCTTTTTGACTTGAAAACAGGCAAACGTATTTCTTCGTGCTTATTAAGCGTAGCCTATGTATATTGTTTGTTAAAGAGAATAAATGTAAACATTCTCCTAATAAATTAAATACCATGGGATAAAATGTTTTATTCATAGTGTCGTGTTAACTTCATGTAGGTAATATATTAAGCAATATATCCGACGGGAGTATTGAGAGTTGAAAATGTTATGATTTATTTGTTATTAGTATTTTTACTGAGAGACAATGTTTTTGTTGCCATCTTCAAGGAACCCGTGAAGATCCGGGTTAGAATTGGTCTTCAGTAACCCATGCTGAGGCGACTGACGGGATCGGGTGGTCAGGCTCGCTGATTTGGTTGACGCACGTCATTGTATCTATATTGCGTAGATCGATGCTTATGCTGTTGATCACTGGATTGCCTGGTCCAGACTGGATTATTTACAGACCATATAGCTGGAATATTGCTGAATGCGGCGTTAAACAACAATCAATCAATCATTCATCTTCAATTAAGGTGTATCCCTTGAAAGTATATGTTTCTAACAGAAACAAGTAACTCCATTTAAACTGGAGAAGGAGCCCCAGTGAGATGGAAGATCATGAACCTGAGCTTATCTGGACTTGTTTCATAAAGTGTTCTGCAATACAGACAGGGCTAGGCGGAATGGAAGTAATAGAGTGTGAGACAGGCTAGTCAGCTTCCTGCCTGGATGTGTGGAGGTTGTTATTGGTGTGAGACAGGCTAGTCAGCTTCCTGCCTGGATGTGTGGAGGTTGTTATTGATGTGAGACAGGCTAGTCAGCTTCCTGCCTGGATGTGTGGAGGTTGTTATTGGTGTGAGACAGGCTAGTCAGCTTCCTGCCTGGATGTGTGGAGGTTGTTATTGGTGTGAGACAGGCTAGTCAGCTTCCTGCCTGGATGTGTGGAGGTTGTTATTGATGTGAGACAGGCTAGTCAGCTTCCTGCCTGGATGTGTGGAGGTTGTTATTGGTGTGTGAGACAGGCTAGTCAGCTTCCTGCCTGGATGTGTGGAGGTTGTTTTGGTGTGAGACAGGCTAGTCAGCTTCCTGCCTGGATGTGTGGAGGTTGTTATTGGTGTGAGACAGGCTAGTCAGCTTCCTGCCTGGATGTGTGGAGGTTGTTTTGGTGTGAGACAGGCTAGTCAGCTTCCTGCCTGGATGTGTGGAGGTTGTTATTGATGTGAGACAGGCTAGTCAGCTTCCTGCCTGGATGTGTGGAGGTTGTTATTGGTGTGAGACAGGCTGGTCAGCTTCCCTGCCTGGATGTGTGGAGGTTGTTATTGGTGTGAGACAGGCTAGTCAGCTTCCTGCCTGGATGTGTGGAGGTTGTTATTGATGTGAGACAGGCTAGTCAGCTTCCTGCCTGGATGTGTGGAGGTTGTTATTGGTGTGAGACAGGCTAGTCAGCTTCCTGCCTGGATGTGTGGAGGTTGTTATTGGTGTGAGACAGGCTAGTCAGCTTCCTGCCTGGATGTGTGGAGGTTGTTTTGGTGTGAGACAGGTTAGTCAGCTTCCTGCCTGGATGTGTGGAGGTTGTTATTGGTGTGAGACAGGCTAGTCAGCTTCCTGCCCGGATGTGTGGAGGTTGTTTTGGTGTGAGACAGGCTAGTCAGCTTCCTGCCTGGATGTGTGGAGGTTGTTATTGATGTGAGACAGGCTAGTCAGCTTCCTGCCTGGATGTGTGGAGGTTGTTATTGGTGTGAGACAGGCTAGTCAGCTTCCTGCCTGGATGTGTGGAGGTTGTTTTGGTGTGAGACAGGCTAGTCAGCTTCCTGCCTGGATGTGTGGAGGTTGTTATTGGTGTGAGACAGGCTAGTCAGCTTCCTGCCTGGATGTGTGGAGAGGTTGTTATTGGTGTGAGACAGGCTAGTCAGCTTCCTGCCTGGATGTGTGGAGGTTGTTATTGGTGTGAGACAGGCTAGTCAGCTTCCTGCCAGGATGTGTGGAGGTTGTTATTGATGTGAGACAGGCTAGTCAGCTTCCTGCCTGGATGTGTGGAGGTTGTTGTTGGTGGTGTGAGACAGGGTAGTCAGCTTCCTGCCTGGATGTGTGGAGGTTGTTATTGATGTGAGACAGGCTAGTCAGCTTCCTGCCTGGATGTGTGGAGGTTGTTATTGATGTGAGACAGGCTAGTCAGCTTCCTGCCTGGATGTGTGGAGGTTGTTATTGATGTGAGACAGACTAGTCAGCTTCCTGCCTGGATGTGTGAAGCTTGTTATTGATGTGAGACAGGCTAGTCAGCTTCCTGCCTGGATGTGTGGAGGTTGTTATTGGTGTGAGACAGGCTAGTCAGCTTCCTGCCTGGATGTGTGGAGGTTGTTATTGATGTGAGACAGGCTAGTCAGCTTCCTGCCTGGATGTGTGGAGGTTGTTATTGGTGTGAGACAGGCTAGTCAGCTTCCTGCCTGGATGTGTGGAGGTTGTTATTGGTGTGAGACAGGCTAGTCAGCTTCCTGCCTGGATGTGTGGGAGGTTGTTATTGATGTGAGACAGGCTAGTCAGCTTCCTGCCTGGATGTGTGGAGGTTGTTATTGGTGTGAGACAGGCTAGTCAGCTTCCTGCCTGGATGTGTGGAGGTTGTTATTGATGTGAGACAGGCTAGTCAGCTTCCTGCCTGGATGTGTGGAGGTTGTTATTGGTGTGAGACAGGCTAGTCAGCTTCCTGCCTGGATGTGTGAAGGTTGTTATTGGTGTGAGACAGGCTAGTCAGCTTCCTGCCTGGATGTGTGGCCAAGAGGTTGTTATTGATGTGAGACAGGGTAGTCAGCTTCCTGCCTGGATGTGAAGCTTGTTATTGATGTGAGACAGGCTAGTCAGCTTCCTGCCTGGATGTGTGGAGGTTGTTATTGATGTGAGACAGGGTAGTCAGCTTCCTGCCTGGATGTGTGAAGCTTGTTATTGATGTGAGACAGGCTAGTCAGCTTCCTGCCTGGATGTGTGAAGGTTGTTATTGATGTGAGACAGGCTAGTCAGCTTCCTGCCTGGATGTGTGAAGGTTGTTATTGGTGTGAGACAGGCTAGTCAGCTTCCTGCCTGGATGTGTGGAGGTTGTTATTGGTGTGAGACAGGCTAGTCAGCTTCCTGCCTGGATGTGTGAAGGTTGTTATTGGTGTGAGACAGGCTAGTCAGCTTCCTGCCTGGATGTGTGAAGGTTGTTATTGATGTGAGACAGGCTAGTCAGCTTCCTGCCTGGATGTGTGAAGGTTGTTATTGATGTGAGACAGGCTAGTCAGCTTCCTGCCTGGATGTGTGAAGGTTGTTATTGGTGTGAGACAGGCTAGTCAGCTTCCTGCCTGGATGTGTGAAGGTTGTTATTGGTGTGAGACAGGCTAGTCAGCTTCCTGCCTGGATGTGTGAAGGTTGTTATTGGTGTGAGACAGGCTAGTCAGCTTCCTGCCTGGATGTGTGGAGGTTGTTATTGATGTGAGACAGGCTAGTCAGCTTCCTGCCTGGATGTGTGGAGGTTGTTATTGGTGTGAGACAGGCTAGTCAGCTTCCTGCCTGGATGTGTGGAGGTTGTTATTGGTGTGAGACAGGCTAGTCAGCTTCCTGCCTGTGATGTGTGAAGGTTGTTATTGATGTGAGACAGGCTAGTCAGCTTCCTGCCTGGATGTGTGAAGGTTGTTATTGGTGTGAGACAGGCTAGTCAGCTTCCTGCCCTGGATGTGTGGAGGTTGTTATTGATGTGAGACAGGCTAGTCAGCTTCCTGCCTGGATGTGTGGAGGTTGTTATTGGTGTGAGACAGGCTAGTCAGCTTCCTGCCTGGATGTGTGGAGGTTGTTATTGATGTGAGACAGGCTAGTCAGCTTCCTGCCTGGATGTGTGGAGGTTGTTATTGGTGTGAGACAGGCTAGTCAGCTTCCTGCCTGGATGTGTGGAGGTTGTTATTGGTGTGAGACAGGCTAGTCAGCTTCCTGCCTGGATGTGTGGAGGTTGTTATTGGTGTGAGACAGGCTAGTCAGCTTCCTGCCTGGATGTGTGGAGGTTGTTATTGGTGTGAGACAGGCTAGTCAGCTTCCTGCCTGGATGTGTGAAGGTTGTTGTTATTGGTGTGAGACAGGCTAGTCAGCTTCCTGCCTGGATGTGTGGAGGTTGTTATTGGTGTGAGACAGGCTAGTCAGCTTCCTGCCTGGATGTGTGGAGGTTGTTATTGATGTGAGACAGGCTAGTCAGCTTCCTGCCTGGATGTGTGAAGGTTGTTATTGGTGTGAGACAGGCTAGTCAGCTTCCTGCCTGGATGTGTGGAGGTTGTTATTGGTGTGAGACAGGCTAGTCAGCTTCCTGCCTGGATGTGTGGAGGTTGTTATTGATGTGAGACAGGGTAGTCAGCTTCCTGCCTGGATGTGTGGAGGTTGTTATTGGTGTGAGACAGGCTAGTCAGCTTCCTGCCTGGATGTGTGGAGGTTGTTATTGGTGTGAGACAGGCTAGTCAGCTTCCTGCCTAGATGTGTGAAGGTTGTTATTGATGTGAGACAGGCTAGTCAGCTTCCTGCCTGGATGTGTGGAGGTTGTTATTGGTGTGAGACAGGGTAGTCAGCTTCCTGCCTGGATGTGTGGAGGTTGTTATTGATGGAGACAGGCTAGTCAGCTTCCTGCCTGGATGTGTGAAGGTTGTTATTGGTGTGAGACAGGCTAGTCAGCTTCCTGCCTGGATGTGTGAAGGTTGTCATTGGTGCAGCACAACAAATGACCTGTGTTGGCGACGGGTTTATTGCTGTGATGATGACGCACAGTAGCGCCGACTGATGACACACACCACTCCGCGAGCAGACGCTGATAGCTACCCTTGTCTTAACGGACTTTGTAATTGTTTGCATGGAGTAAGTGAGTCACAATAATTCGTCGCCTTGGCGTTATTTCAGCCATATAGTGACGAGATCAAGTTTATACCTGTACACAAGTATATAAAGAGTTTTATTTAAGTGAGTGAGAGAGTTTAGTTTTACGCCAAACTCAACAATATTTAAGCTATATGGCGGTGATCTGTAAATAATCGAGCCTGGAGCAAACAAACCAGTGATCAACAGCATGAGCGTCGACCTACGCAATTGGGATATGATGACATGTGTCAACCGAATGTATCTGCGAGCCTGACCACCCGATCCCGTCAGTCGCCTCTTACGACAAGAATGAGTTACTGAAGATCAGTTCTAGATTATTTTTATTTAAAAAGCGTATTTGTTGCATGTGTTTCACACAGATGGTCACATGAAGCATGATAGGAATCACATACCACACAGGGGGGTGGGCGGTCATTTTATTGTACTTCAACCTATGGACGGTGAATTCAGTCATCTCTGTTGATGACAGCATCATACCAAAGTCAAACAAACAAACAATTAGATACTCACATCCTTGCTTATAATTGACGATTCAGAAAAAATACGGACATATTCCTAAACATTCGTTCACATGTCACAACTACCCTGCCTCGTATACCCTGTACCATGTTTTCTCCCCCGACCCTCAGTGTAATGTCATAGCAGCACATGAAGCAAGGCTATATTTACACAAGTTCAGACCCCGAATATGAAATCTCAATATAAACGTAGGACAAACTACCCATTTACAGAGCTTAAGGTTTAGTGCAATCAGCAGTGTAGGAAAGATGTAGAAAATCTAGCCTGTCCACAGGACTGGCTGGTCAAATTTTTTACCAGTCCTGCCAAAATCTAGCCTGTCCTCCAAATATAAATAAAACACCATTTCAAGACTTAAAACTGGTTTGTTTTATTGTAAGATATCATTTACATGCGCAATTTATCTGTTTTATTATTCTAGTATCCCTCGGCAGTAAATATTCAAAAAGGCTATAATCATTATATATGTCATTGGTTTGCTAAAACTGACCCGACATGAGGACGGACTAGATTTATTTTTAACCCGTCCTCCACAAAATTCACCCGTCTCGGACGTTGGGACGGGCTATCTTTCCTACACTGCAATCAGCATGATGTTTTGAAACTGACATTGAAGTCAGATACTGATGTACATTTGCGTTTAACAATAAAAGATATATCATACGTTTGGTCTTCTATTAATTCATTGTATCGTACTTCTACTTTCGCTTGTACTTATAATTTTTCCTCATTATGGCGTATAAAGGGGAACATGTGGTCAGACTCACTGACTTGGTTGACACATGTCATCGTATCCCAATTGTGCAGATCGACGCTCGTGATGTTGATCACTGGATTGTCTGATCCAGACTTGATTTTTTACAGACCGAAGAAATATAGCTGGAATATTGCGGAGTTCGGCTTTGAACAACGAGCAAGCGAACCAACTCCATTGTGCTGAAAGCTTTCGTTTCTTATGTGCACCTACATATTCTATAGGTGCACACTTGCTTTTATTATTGGTGTTCAAAGATTCAACAGCTGGTAATGCTGTCTAACAAGTCTACAACCTGTCCATCAGTTTGTGTCACAGCGCCTCAACAATATCGTTTACTCTTCCACCTAGCCCTAAATGCAGCAAGTCTATGATCGTTTACTCTTCCACCTAGCCCTAAATGCAGCAAGTCTATGATCGTTTACTCTTCCACCTAGCCCTAAATGCAGCAAGTCTATGATCGTTTACTCTTCCACCTAGCCCTAAATGCAGCAAGTCTATGATCGTTTACTCTTCCACCTAGCCCTAAATGCAGCAAGTCTATGATCGTTTACTCTTCCACCTAGCCCTAAATGCAGCAAGTCTATGATCGTTTACTCTCCCACCTAGCCCTAAATGCAGCAAGTCTATGATCGTTTACTCTTCCACCTAGCCCTAAATGCAGCAAGTCTATGATCGTTTACTCTTCCACCTAGCCCTAAATGCAGCAAGTCTATGATCGTTTAGTCTTCCACCTAGCCCTAAATGCAGCAAGTCTATGATCGTTTACTCTTCCACCTAGCCCTAAATGCAGCAAGTCTATGATCGTTTACTCTTCCACCTAGCCCTAAATGCAGCAAGTCTATGATCGTTTACTCTTCCACCTAGCCCTAAATGCAGCAAGTCTATGATCGTTTACTCTTCCACCTAGCCCTAAATGCAGCAAGTCTGTGATCGTTTACTCTCCCACCTAGCCCTAAATGCAGCAAGTCTATGATCTCCCATCTCATTATACAAGCAGCCACACATACACACGCATGCACGTCGTCATATGAGCGAAATATTCTTAAGTACGACGTTAAACCTCATTTTACCTCACCTAACCCCCCATCCCCATTTCATTGGGCCTCATTTTCATAAAAATGGAGTAATTTGTTTCCATCAGAACTACATATTTTCAGAGACTGAGCGTGGGGAATGAAACCCGGGATTTTCGCCAATTCGGACTTATAAGACCTACCAACTGCTCATTTAATTGCGTTCTTTCTGTGTCAGAGCTGGGATGGAGTCTGTAGGTAGAGGTGTTGTGTAACAACTGTGAGCAGATGACACCATTTCTGTGAACAAAGGCTATCGACAACTTTCCTTGGACAACCATAGGTCCAGGTTGGATCCATTGGATCTATGTGGGGCTGCTGAGATTGAACCCACCGGCGCACACTCTGGTAACAGGAGCAGCCCCATAGTGTCAGGAATAGCAGCGGGTACCTCCTGCCGTATCACTGGGGGAATGAGAATACAGTTCGAGGCTGTCAACCGAGCAATACCGAGAATAAAATACACCACAGGGGTGCTTCATAAATGTCCAGGTGTATAGATCGTGTGGTGAATCTCGGCAGGAGAATAACTGACTGTCATCTAGTGCTTTCAGCCGGTGCGTACTTTGTGGAGGCCTGTCTTGTGTACTGACAAGTCGTCGTGATGTTGCTGGAGCAGTGGTTGCTGCGATGTTGAAGACCACTGGCTCAAACAAGTCGGCGAATTTACCTCTAACAGGCGGTGTACATGAAGATATTATACGGACGCTTCTTACCTCAGCCACTACACGCAGAGTTGTGTGTTATCCTAAAGAAATTAAACTGACGTACAAAAAAAAAGCACCCACTTGGTGCTTTCCGACAAACAACGGTAATGTATTGAAAGGTATTTTGATTCTGACTTACAAGACACAAACACAAACATTGTGTACTTGTTGCCAAAACAACAATCAAATAAGTTTAAGGTTTAGGAATTACATAAGGAAAGATTAATGAACATGTTTTTTATAGCCCATTTCGTCTTGCTTATGCGACATCATTGTTTACCATCAGTAGGATAAGACAGGTATTCTGTTATATATATATTGACTTCTTATCATGGCAATTAGTTGAGACAGCAATTCTTCGGCCTCCTGACTACATATTCCACTAAAACCACCAGTTAATCTTTCGAGTTTAAATGTACCGACTGTTAACCTTATGTATAATGTCATATATATGTTATGGATATGGTTTTTTTCATTCATCAGTCAGATATTTTCATAGTATTTTTAACAATAATAAAGAGAACTTACTGTCGGCTCACTCCATTGTAGCTTGTACTGTGTATACTTTCCGGAGCATTGTTCTCTGCTGCAGTAGTGAAAACTTGTCACAATTTCACGCAGTATACGCAGATGAAAAACATTGCACCAGGACCATAACTTCAGAGTGAGTGAGTTCAGTTTTACGCCGCACTCAGCAATATCCCAGCTATATGGCGGCGGATCCATAACTGTAGAAACGAGTTTGACATCAAGTATATTTCTTTATCGTTTTTAGCAAACACATGGTACTAATGTTATGTTTGGGGTTACACATTTTCAGTGAAGGCATTGTGTAGTCACATGTTTGAAACACGATTTGTCCCAATTCAGGAGCAGAATAGACAGATGCACTACGTTCCTATACCGAAGCGAGGCGGCATGTTATAAACACATATATTGTATGGGCATGAATTATGAAGTAACGTATCTTATTCCCCGTCTCTATACGCTGAGAGATGGTCCCACGTCAATATTGATACACAGCCTAGGTGACTGTGTCTAAACTCACAGGAACACTTGGGTCCAGATTCCAGAGGTAGACTGACGCACGTGCATGGTGACCTGTGGCTGAACATTTTAAGTAAGCGTATTGTTTTGAAAAATGAATCTGTCACTGAGATTAATGGCAACTTGTTTCATTGACGTACCAGTAAATGTTGCCTTTATTGAAAATTGGAGTCAAACTGCAGTGGATCCAAGAAAGGTGTTTCCTTGACTCATGACGTTTTAATGTGTAGGTGAGGTCATATCGTGCCATATCATGGCGTGACGCGGCAACCCTTTCTATTAACTGGGTACGCTGCATCACGTTGAACGTCACGCTGTGTGTTTCTATCCCACATACATGCACGTGATATCACACTGTACGTTCTGCCGTGTAGCCCTGTCATCTATCAGGACACGTGAGATTACGTTGTACGTCCAGTTATAACACATTATACCCCTTTCAAGACATACGCCCTGTCTCTCGTGTCCACCCTGTAACCTAGACTGTAAACAACATCGTGAAAGTGTTACCTGGACAAGTACCACCTATTTTGCTGTAACTGCATCCATATTATAGCTCCACTGTTATCGCTGTTCCAGAACAAGGGAGATAACACACGATGTTCGTACTCCTGGCCACCCTCCTCCTGTATCCGCTGTGCGCCGTCGCCGAGGTGCAGCAAAGTTTGTTTGACAGACTCCCCTCCATGGACGACAAGATACTCACGTCCCATGTCGTCATGCCGAAGACCATCCTGGACCTTGGGGCATGCGGTTTTCACTGCCTGGTGAACTCCAAGTGTAAAGCCTTCTTCCACCACCAGACAAAGTCCCTGTGCCAGCTCCAGGCGGAGAAGGCATCTGGTGGCAAGGAAGAGAAGGGATGGTTGCACTACTTCAAGAAGTGAGAGGCTCAGGTGTGCGAGGTAAGGAGCGTAATATGAGAGGTGGGGAGCGGTGAGACAGGTGCGAGGTAAGGAGTGTAACATGAGAGGTGGGGGAGCGGTGAGACAGGTGCGAGGTAAGGTGTGTAACATGAGAGGTGGGGAGCGAGTGAGACAGGTGCGAGGTAGGTGTGTAACATGAGAGGTGGGGGGAGCGGTGAGACAGGTGCGAGGTAAGGTGTGTAACATGAGAGGTGGGGGAGCGGTGAGACAGGTGCGAGGTAAGGTGTGTAACATGAGAGGTGGGGGAGCGGTGAGACAGGTGCGAGGTAAGGTGTGTAACATGAGAGGTGGGGAGCGGTGGTGAGACAGGTGCGAGGTAAGGTGTGTAACATGAGAGGTGGGGAGTGGTGAGACAGGTGCGAGGTAAGGTGTGTAACATGAGAGGTGGGGAGTGGTGAGACAGGTGCGAGGTAAGGAGTGTAACATGAGAGGTGGGGAGTGGTGAGACAGGTGCGAGGTAAGGTGTGTAACATGAGAGGTGGGGAGTGGTGAGACAGGTGCGAGGTAAGGTGTGTAACATGAGAGGTGGGGAGCGGTGAGACAGGTGCGAGGTAAGGTGTGTAACATGAAAGGTGGGGGAGCGGTGAGACAGGTGCGAGGTAAGGTGTGTAACATGAGAGGTGGGGAGCGGTGAGACAGGTGCGGGGTATGGAATGTAATATGAAAGGTGGGGGGTTGGTGCAGGTGCGAGATAAAGGGCATATAAATGGGTTGAGAGTGGTGAGGGTGCGTCATGGAGGATACAACGACAGAGCGCCGTGGTGTAGCTGCTATATTTAGGGAGCGTATCATAATTGTTCTGTGCTATAAAAAAACATCTGTAGGAGGATACATGTTCTGTGTTTCAGGTTTCCCAACACCCGGCATGAGACGGTTCCTGGTTTGATTCAATGAATGCCTTCAAGACATTCAAACACTTTCTGTTTTTCCATCTGCGATTTACCTATATGGTGCATGTATTTTATTACCTCGAATCTTGTTTCCTTGAATTAAGTGTCTATCATATTTAATATCCAGAGTCCTTTGAAAATTACGAAAATAAAAAATATTTGTATGGAACGGTTCTCATGTTTTGTTATGTTCATTGTGATGATGTCTCCTGGCCACCGATACTAAAAGTCCCTTACTAATAATTAATGATGGCATATTCATTACATCGTACATCACTCATGTGATATTGATCCATGGTACAGGTTCGCCTTTCACTTTGGAATGTCATGCCCATGTAAACCTTACACATGATAATTAGATATAACGCTTTGCCTTCTAACTACTTCGAGGACTTCTAGAATCTATTTTACGTGGATCTGTAAGTGGGCAGTTCTGTAACACCTTTACCATTTTGCGGGTATGGATGAGCCGCTCTCAACACTGGTCTATAGTTTGGCATGAAATGCACGTGGATCCGTTTTTTTTGTAAATATATCTTCATCCAATGACCCAATCGATCTCAAACTGTGCAAGTGAATGTTTTGTCAGACAGCCTAATCACATTGTAAATCACCGATTTTATGCATTTGTATTAAAGAATCTGTCTATGTAACTGTCAACAAAATAAACAGCAGAACGCAGACTTCTTGCAGAGGGAGGGAGCCAATGACCTGTAACAGCGGTAGTGTTGGGTCATAAAGGTAAATGCACGTGCAGTTCATGATAGTTACCTGTGCACTGCACAGTGATAGACCGTTTGGATAATTCACATTGACTACTTCTAGCTGTCATCATGAAAGCTTATTCAGATGATGCTAAACGTTTAATTAGAAATGTGTTGAATTTTTTTTAAAAAGAGAGCAAACGTAGCAAACCGATTTATAAGGTGTCGGATTACATGAAACGTACAACTTTTGCTCTTGGCATGAAAAAGAACATCGTGCTAAAAATTGTGAAAAATAAACCAACAACCAATAAACAAAACCTTGTACAAAAAGGTAGGCATCCAAAGTTAGATTCTTTTGACATCAGGGTCATCAGAGATGTCATTCGCCGGCTATTTGCTAGAAATGAACACCTGTCCACAAGAAAGTTAAAACACATCCTTGGAAGTTGCGCAATATACAACATATGTCGGTTGTGACCCATATACAACATGCTATGTCTGATATGAGGCCATATACAACACTGAATACAGCATGCTGCGCACGTTGATAAAACATGATATGTTGGATGTGGCACTACACACAACACCCTATACACCATTATATATCGGAGGTTTAACTGTGTCACAGCCTGATATGTTGGATGTGGCACTACACACAACACCCTATACACCATTATATATCGGAGGTTTAACTGTGTCACAGCCTGATATGTTGGATGTGGCACTACACACAACACCCTATACACCATTATATATCGGAGGTTTAACTGTGTCACAGCCTGATATGTGGATGTGGCACTACACACAACACCCTATACACCATTATATATGTGGCACTACACACACTACACCCTATACACCATTATATATCGGAGGTTTAACTGTGTCACAGCCTGATATGTTGGATGTGGCACTACACACAACACCCTATACACCATTATATATCGGAGGTTTAACTGTGTCACAGCCTGATATGTTGGATGTGGCACTACACACACACAACACCCTATACACCATTATATATCGGAGGTTTAACTGTGTCACAGCCTGATATGTTGGATGTGGCACTACACACAACACCCTATACACCATTATATATCGGAGGTTTAACTGTGTCACAGCCTGATATGTTGGATGTGGCACTACACACAACACCCTATACACCATTATATATCGGAGGTTTAACTGTGTCACAGCCTGATATGTTGGATGTGGCACTACACACAACACCCTATACACCATTATATATCGGAGGTTTAACTGTGTCACAGCCTGATATGTTGGATGTGGCACTACACACAACACCCTATACACCATTATATATCGGAGGTTTAACTGTGTCACAGCCTGATATGTTGGATGTGGCACTACACACAACACCCTATACACCATTATATATCGGAGGTTTAACTGTGTCACAGCCTGATATGTTGGATGTGGCACTACACACAACACCCTATACACCATTATATATCGGAGGTTTAACTGTGTCACAGCCTGATATGTTGGATGTGGCACTACACACAACACCCTATACACCATTATATATCGGAGGTTTAACTGTGTCACAGCCTGATATGTTGGATGTGGCACTACACACAACACCCTATACACCATTATATATCGGAGGTTTAACTGTGTCACAGCCTGATATGTTGGATGTGGCACTACACACAACACCCTATACACCATTATATATCGGAGGTTTAACTGTGTCACAGCCTGATATGTTGGATGATAATATTCATGTATTTGTATGTGTCATTATGTAAGGAATGTTATGATGGAAGACTTTATTTTTTCATGAAAATACAAAAAAAACAACCCTAACAAAAACAAAATAAAAAAAATAAATAAAAATATATATATATATATATCAGGCTACAGACACGCACCTGTAGAGCGAGTCTCTGATTGGTGAAATTTCCCACCTCTTTTTACGTCTCGCTAGACACGCTCTACTACCGGTGCGGGTCTGTAGCCTGAGATTTGTTTACTTCCAGGCATATGTCCTGACTTCGTACGAGAATGGACGGTAAAATTATTGAAAGCTTCAAATGGGAATAAAATCACAAGGTTAGTGATACGCAAGGTAATTTACAGTGGTCAACTGAGTATAAATTGTGCAGTTTATTCAAGGATCAAAGCAATGGAAGCGTTTGTCAGACCGAAACCGAGCCGAGCCGGGCCGCCATTTTTTTTCGATTTGCTGACACACCTTTCTTATATCTTATATGTATAGGTCATAGTTATAAATATATCAGAGTCGGGCGCCTATGTACTGCTGCTGCTGCCTCTACCACTAAAACTACTACGGCTGCTGCTGCTACTACTACTACTGCTGCTGCTGCCTCTACCACTAAAACTACTACGGCTGCTGCTGCTACTACTACTACTGCTGCTGCTGCCTCTACCACTAAAACTACTACGGCTGCTGCTGCTACTACTACTACTGCTGCTGCTGCCTCTACCACTAAAACTACTACGGCTGCTGCTGCTACTACTACTACTGCTGCTGCTGCCTCTACCACTAAAACTACTACGGCTGCTGCTACTACTACTACTGCTGCTGCCTCTACTACTAAAACTACTACGGCTGCTGCTGCTACTACTACTACTGCTGCCGCCTCTACCACTAAAACTACTACGGCTGCGCTACTACTACTACAGCTGCTGCTGCCTCTACAACCAACACTACTACGGCCGCTGCTACTACTACTACAGCTGCCTCTGCGTATGCTACAGCTGTTCTTGTGGCTGCTACTGCAACTACTACTCCTACTACTGTTGCTTCTGCCTCTACTGCTATTGCTGTTGTTATAGCTGTTGTTACTACCGCATCTACTGCTATTGCTGCTGTTACAGCTGTTGTTACTTGCGCCTCTATTGCTATTGCTGCTGTTATAGCTGTTGTTACTTCCGCCTCTATTGCTAATGCTGTTGTTATTGCTGTTGTTACTTCTGCCTCTACTGCTATTGCTGTTGTTACTTCCGCCCCTACTGCTATTGCTGTTGTCACTTCCGCCTCTACTGCTATTGCTGTTGTTACTTCCGCCTCTGCTGCTATTGCTGCTGTTATTTCCGCCTCTACTGCTATTGCTGCTGTTATAGGTGTTGTTACTTCCGCCTCTACTGCTATTGCTGTTGTTACTTCTGCCTCTACTGCTATTGCTGCTGTTACTGCTGTTGTTACTTCCACCTCTACTGCTAATGCTGTTGTTATTGCTGTTCTTACTTCCGCCTCTACTGCTATTGCTGTTGTTACTTCCGCCTCTACTGCTATTGCTATTGTTACTTCCGCCTCTACTGCTAATGCTGTTGTTATTGCTGTTGTTACTTCTGCCTCTACTGCTATTGCTGTTGTTACTTCCGCCTCTACTGCTATTGCTGTTGTTACTTCCGCCTCTACTGCTATTGCTGTTGTTACTTCCGCCTCTGCTGCTATTGCTGCTGTTACTTCCGCCTCTACTGCTATTGCTGCTGTTATAGGTGTTGTTACTTCCGCCTCTACTGCTATTGCTGTTGTTACTTCTGCCTCTACTGCTATTGCTGCTGTTACTGCTGTTGTTACTTCCGCCTCTACTGCTATTGCTGTTGTTATAGCTGTTGTTACTCATGCCTCCACTGCTATTGCTGCTGTTATAGCTGTTCCTGCTTCTGCCTCTACTGCTATTGCTGTTGTTATAGCTGTTGTTATTTCTGCCTCTACGGCTATTGCTGTTGTTACTTCTGCCTCTACTGCTATTGCTGCTGTTATAGCTGTTGTTACTTCTGCCTCTTCTGCTATTACTGTTGTTACTTCCGTCTCTACTGCTATTGCTGCTGTTATAGCTGTTGTTATTTCTGCCTCTACAGCTATTGCTGTTGTTACTTCCGGCTCTACTGCTATTGCTGCTGTTATAGCTGTTGTTGCTTCTGCCTCTACTGCTATTGCTGCTGTTATAGCTGTTGTTACTTCTGCCTCTACTGCTATTGCTATTGTTGTTATAGGTGTTGTTGCTTCTGCCTCTACTGCTATTGCTGCTGTTATAGCTGTTGTTGCTTCTGCCTCTACTGCTATTGCTGCTGTTATAGCTGTTGTTACTTCTGCCTCTACTGCTATTGCTGTTGTTACTTCTGCCTCTACTGCTATTGCTGCTGTTATAGCTGTTGTTACTGCTATTGCTACTGTTATAGCTGTTGTTACTTCTGCCTCTACAGCTATTTGCATTATAGCTGTTGTTATGGCTTCACTGCTATTGCTGCTGTTTAGCTGTTGCTATTCTACTGCTATTATTGCTGTTATAGCTGTTGTTGCTTCTGCCTCTACTGCTATTGCTGTTGTTACTTCTCCGCCTCTACTCTGCTGCTGCTGCTGTTATAGCTGTTGTTTGCTTCTGCCCCTACTAGCTGCTACTGTTGTTACTGTTGTTTGTTACTTCTATCTGCTATCTGCTGCTGTTGCTGTTATAGCTGTTGTTGTTTCGC